CAATTCCATTAACTCTTACAGACGTCTCTTAAATTGTCGTTCTGTTTCTGTTATTTTGTTAAATTAAATTTAATTCTGATTTTATTTTACTTCTTTTTTTGCTAATTTATACATCATGTGTCAATAGTGAATGGTTCTTTAATAATATAACGATCACTAGTAAGATTAATAATTTTTAAAGTTTGGTTTCGCAAAATTTTTTAGGTTGGTCGGTTTTTTTGCCGGTCAGTGTATTTTTTTGTCAAAATTTAAAATAATAATGTTATTTCACTTGAAAAAAGATGTAAGTCCAAAAGTCAAATTTTTTATATTAATATTCTATAGCAAGACAACTCCACATTTAATAGCTTATTATATGTTTTGTACATAGTGCATTCAAAGTAAATTCAAATCTTAAATTTGGTAACGTAAAGAGTAAGGATTTTATTCTTTTCATTTTTTTAGTGATGTTATATATATATTCAGATTTAAGATAAGAAAATCAGAAAATAACAAAATTAAATTTATCTACGTGGGATCTGTTCTAGTTTTTTAGAAATTATTTCATTTATTCTACATTCAGTTTCCACATTCACTGTGTCTTCCCACAGTAAATATTTAACACCTGTTTTAGATGAATTTGTTGATGCGCACTCCTCAAAGTAACGATCTATTACTCAGTACTCTGATGGAAATGGTAAAAAGGATCTCTCAAGCTTAAAGGTTTCGCTATTCTTTAAAAATTTGGATATTCATTGGCGTAACTGTAGCAGCTGCTTTCGCTACTCACAATAAAGAAAATAAAACAATTGTTGAGCTGAGTTACTCAATCTTTCAGACGAAATGAATAAAAATTAAGCTTTATGATTGAAAAGCTATAATTATTTCATCTTTAGTAGGACAAAAAAAAACAATAATTAGTTTGCGAATAATTAAATTGCCAAGTTTTTACTTAGGAGAGGAAAATAGATTGACCAAGGTAGGTTTAATATATTTATATAATTTTCTCATTACCATAATGATGTGTATGCACAAGCTAAAGTCGTGAACGACATAAAATAAATTTGAAATATGGAATCCATTAATAATATTAACTTATTTTATTCGATAACTGCGCCACAGAATTAGGTGAGTGATTATAGCCTGACCTACGACATTATGGTTTAGTTACCTAAAAATAAATCCACACTTGTAATCGAAAGTTATCGCAAGCTTAATATTTTCTTCACAATCTTTGATCCAATTTCATCACAGGACAATGGATAACAGTTGCAAATGTATAATAATTTTCCTTGTTCTTTGCTTTCAATACTTTCCTCACTTGTTTTACTCTCACACTCCAGCGTAAGCTGTAAACAACATTTAATTAAAAAACTTTACTCTAAGCCTAAGCGTAGAAAGGAGTGGTGCGTACGTGTTCTTTCTCTCACATATCCAGCACAGCGTATGTATATTCATGCCATCACTAATAAGTCATTCATTTTTTTGCTAAATTAATTAGCAGTTTAAACGAAACTAAAAACGTCTATCTCGCTATTCCGGATGTATTTCATTAAATCATTATCCTCATCGACAATTTCTATTTTCTTTTCGTTTCTTTTCTTTACATTTCTTCAAGTGGGTGCTAACAATTTGAATATGTAGATCGGGTCAATCGACTTTTCCCTGCTAATACCTCGAACGTCCTTGCAAATTATACCTACTATACATTTTTTAGCATTATTCATAGATCAATAGTAGCGTAGGCATTTGTAGAACAATCGCTTTTTCTGTCGCCGGATTCACGGTTGATAGCTCGGCCTTCCGCAGACCTAACAAAGAACGCACAGGTTGCAGTTTATGCACTGTCTGACAGGGCCGTAACGAAATATTTTTGTCGATGTTGCATTCTATAGAGATATTTTATAGAAATAATGAATAAGTCTTGTATTCTATATTTATTTTAATGTGACGAGATCAACCCTATAATTCGTCTTTTACGCATTATTTGGTCATTACTGCTGTGGAAATGTTGCTGACCAGAGAGCTAAAAGTGAATTTTCCTCTTACATAGTGCAAGAAATTATTGCTGACAATGTGGGTTTACAATTTCATACTTTTATTTGTTGCTTTGATTTTTTTTTTGATTTCGAAAAAATACACATATTGTATATAATTTAAATAATATTATAATTTAGTGCTGCCTAAGTTTAAAGGACTCGTGTGATTTGAGAAATTTTAAGTTTTTGTCATGTTCATTATAGTTATTAAGGTATTTAGGGGGTTATGAAATAAATAACGTACGAGGTCGACAGTGTACTCCCGAGGGCGTCCCGCCCGAGGGAAAGTACGTCGGCCGAGGGTGTTATGTTCATAACCCCCGTGGTGCCTTCAACATTTTATGTCATCCTTACCAGCAAAAGTTTATAAATAAACACAAAATTCCAAAAAAAAGCTTATTCCCGTAATTTAACGGAAAAATCGACCTACCTTGGTCACTAGCAACGGCGTTGTTTACTAAATGAAAAATTGTGTGACAGGTGCAATATTACAAAATGTACGACGAAAACTTGCCGGAACGTGTTTTGGCAAGTGCTGCAAAAGCTGTGGAAGGAAGAATTCCAGTGAAATCGAAATCTGTTTACGAAAAAGAATATTCCCGCTTCATTCAATGGACAAACGACAATTCAGTGAAGACCGTAAATGAAACCGTTCTGCTTGCTTATTTTCAAGAGCTAACTGCGGATTTTTTTCCGAATTCGTTGTGGACTAAATTTCCTATGTTAAAGAAAGAATTAATGGTTAAAAAAGTGGTGAATAGTGCTAAAAAGTTTTCCCAATTGGAGGCCTATTTAAAGCAACGCTCAAAAGGCTACCAACCAAAAAAATCAAAGGTACTAACACGGGAACAGGTCTTAACGTTTCTTAAAAACGCTTCAGATGAATCTTTTCTGATGATTAAAGTCGCTTTGGTGATGGGTGTGTTTGGAACGTGTAGAAGGGATGAGCTTGTAAAAATGAAGCGCAGCGATGCTCTTGATATGGGTGAGCACATACTCGTCAATATACCAGCTTCGCCACAGTGCCAGAAGTATACGTGGATGATAGCGAATGTTCCAAACGGAAGAATGCTCGTTTAGTTTCTGGCGTAAACAAGTCAGTTGACATCAAAAAGTCAAGTCAATTTTCAAGTGTTACAGATTCCAAAGGTGTTAATTTTTCAGGTCACTTTCCTAATTGTACTTTTGAAATAAAGCAAAAAGAATAAATTTATATAAAGTACGTTATTGTTCCATTTTTATCATTACTCTTACTATAATTTCTGAATATTGAAAAATAACGCCCTAGGACCTATTAATTTCAAAAATAACGCCCTAGACCGTTATTTACATTGTAACGCGTATTAAATAAAGGTTGTTATTGAAAAATAATAATAAAGGATGACATAAATGTTTATTTGAATGCGTTTTAAGAATATATATTTTTTGATAAATTTTAAGTGTTAAAACTTTATGCAAATGCGAAATGGTGCTATTAATTATTTTCATATGTGATACAAATATGAAGAAACATGTAAAATGTGTAAAATATATGGGTATGTGATATGGAATGTATGTCTAAATATACATACATATAATATAACAACATACACTTACATTTTTAATCTCTGTTCAACACATAATTCGCAAAAAATTAAGCAAAACTTTAAAAGAAAAATTCCGATTAGACTGTGTATTTTGCTGCCATAGAAATGCATTTTTTAAGTTCTACTTTGACACTAATTGTTTGAAATCGTAACATCAGTATTAACACAATTATTAAAACCACTTTTAAAATGAATTTGAATAGATTTGACTTACTGTTATAACACATCTTACAAAATTTTTCTTCGAATTTTCTTCAAAAAGTAATAGGTATGAAAAGGACTTTTACATACATTTTAGACATTCTGAGACACTTACGTAAATCGCATTTCCCACTCACATACCACGTTTCATAAAATATAAATTTCGTTTTACTCACATTTAGTTCTAAGAATTTGCTACTCCTCTTGTAAGTAAATGTCCCTGTTTATGTCAATAGTTGTTTCGCGGTTTTAAATGTAAGCGGTACAAGCGACCATAATTTTGTATTCAAAAATATTTTCTGTACAGTGATGATCATTCTATCATGAATCAGGATCTATGGAAATAATGCAATAAATACTGTAAAAATTGATTATATGTATTATATATCTATACCACATGAAATGTATGATGCATTTAATAGTACATGTATATATAGTTATTACATATTGACTACAGCAAGTAACGCATTTTCTATAAGGTAGAATTTCTGGTATGACATCTACTGTGTTTGAAAATCCCAATAATTTCCGAAAACCACTAGATTGAATGTCGTCTCAATAAACTATGTAGTTTCTTGAAATTAGGTAATCACAATTATACAGAAAAAACATTTTGATGCGTATGACATTGCTTTAGCTCATAAGTTATAAAATTGTATCGTATCTCGTAAACTACGTCACAATTTTTCAAGGAATTACTTTAACAACTATTGTAGATCCTGGTGTATTACTCACGTAGTTTCATTGTAAGCATTCTTTAAATATGATTATATTTTAAACATAATTTTGAGATTTAAATCAATTTCGACATCGTCTACTATCAAAATAGATTTTTTTTTATTAAACATTGTGTGAATGATTTGTGAATTCGAATCGTTTTTATTACATTTGCAAAATACTGTTTTCCTTGAAATTAAAATACAATGTTCTTTTATACTTTTGTTTACCGACATGTAGTCATGATCAAATTTACAAATTTCCTGATTCCGTCCCTGTCTCCAGACAAAAGAACAATTATTTTTTGCCAACCATCAAACCACAACCTGCACAAAAAAGTGTCTTCATTGTCGCCGTTTCGCTCTCTCCTGCCATCATCAAGACAAATCCTCGATGTGCTTTTATTGATTTTCATCTCATTAAAGCGGCGCCGAAAGCGGCAGAGCTTCGGATCAATTCGTCTGTTGTGTTTACAACATGTGCGTACACCGCTTACAACGTAATGTTCGCGTTAAACGGAAGAAAATCGTCCAGTGTTCAACAAATTCGGATTGCGGTATTTCTAAATTAATCGTGAAAGGTGTTTTTGATAGAATATGCAGTCTGTAAACCGGTAAAACTTGTGGAATGTGCTCGAATCGAACGCATCGGTCACAGCTGATTGCTTTGGTGTTGATTAATTATTCCAATTGTGGTAAATTTGCTACGTTTATGGCATCCGAGATACAAATCAGTCCACTTTGCGAGAATCATGTTGTCACTTTGGGGCTGCGGCAATTAATTAAGTCTCGTTGAGAGCGATCGCAAAAAGTGTTGGGAGAAACCACTGAAGCAGGAACTGAGTGTGTTGTTTTTCGCAGTTCTTCAGATGGTCAAGTGGGAAAAAAATGACAGATGGAGAGAATAGTGCTGACGATTTGTCCAAATCTGAGGACATTTCAGTTAATAGAAGTATCCCTGATATTATTGAAAGTCCAAATTTCAATGATGCCTATACTGCCTGGCGTAAGTTGAGCTTTAATTTACTTTTCTGAAAATGAAAAAAAATTGTGGGTCTGGCATAACTGTAGCCGCTTTATGATGCATTCATTATAACGTTTGCAGGTATTAAAAGATTACAGTTTTAATGTGTATCCCGGTAATCTTTTCTTTTCTTTATCTATCATTCATTTAGCAGATCCCTCTTATAACTGTGAGATAAGTAACACAATAAGATTTCGTGGAATTTGTCTAAATGACTGATGAAACATGACAACTGTTCATGTAGGTTGACGTTTTTCAACAAATAAGGCTACATCTTTAAAAATGGTTTAATGTGATAGTTCTTTTGTTCCAAGTGATTTTTTTTTTAAGTTTATTAAGTATTAGGTACTAGCGAGTACCGTACATATAACATCTTGTTGACACTTCATCAATAAATGATCAAATAAATATCAAGGGTAGGTGTTTGATTGATGGCTATATTTAATAACAAGTGTATATACAACAAAAGGTAAAAGTTATTTGTTTCGATTTTGAAATGCAGACATATTATTTACGATCCTCAAATTTACTAACTGTTGGAAGTACTGTAATAGAATAATTTTGAGAAATGTTTTTTTTCATATCTTCTTGTTGAGTTTCATAGGTTCTAGACAGATAATTTTCGAGCAGCCGAACTGATTTCAGATTAATTTTTTAAGGGCACTAACTTGTACATTAGCGAATAATGTTTTGTTTATACTCTCGAAAACTTTAACGTAAACGTATAACATAATTTACTTTTTAAGCAGTAGTTTAATAAATACATCTTTTGTTTCCTGGGCTTAATCAAAGACACAGGATTCTTTTAGAATTCGACACTATGGGGGGTAGCACACAATGGAGCAGAAGGTTTCCATACTCGGCTCTATTTACATATAAAAAAATCATCTTAATTTTTAAGGTCACGTCACATGTATACACTGCCATAAAAGACCAAGGTCAATCAAATTTTTTAATTTTTGTCTTGGAAATTGAAAAACGGAAAAATAATATTTGTCAAGACACTATAATTGATCCAGAGATTACAAATATAATACATAAAAACATTTATTTATCACAATTCTGGGAATACAATAATTGTTTTATTGGTAATGTTACATTGTACTAACCAAAATTTATGTTTTATACCATCAAGACGTTTACAATGTCATCTCAAAAATTATGAAATATTGTAGTACCAATTTATTCATTTTACTTCTCAAGTGATAAATACTTGATGACTTATAAAATAAAATATTGCTTTCCCACATCCGTCAGTTTGCCTATTTATCGTTTAGTGCGAGTTTGTTAGGCACTTCAAAATTACCGAACCGATTATTCTAAATTTTAAATATGTTATCTAACAGTTTGTGGTAGATAACAAGCTAATGAAAGTTCTGTTTCCACAATCCTCAAAAAATTAATTACGATAAATACAGTTAGTGACATGGGCGCCCATAGAAACCTTTCTCAGGGGGGGCCACCCTGAAATTTTTGTAATATACTCTGTTTTTGTATATATAAATAATATAATGATAGAAATCTTTACTATTATAAATATATATTTTAATCATCAACTACGTTAATCAAATCTATCGCAAATAACCCTACAACATCATTATTCTTATTATTAGCAAAACAGTGTAAAATATTAAAATTAAAAAGTTATAAAAATATAAAATTCATCAAAAACAAATTGCTAATCCCTTTTTTCTTGGCCAAAATCGTCAGTTACTCTACCAACAGATATTTCTTCGGCATTAACTCTCTCTCTGAAATACTACTGTCAAGGTTTTTTATTTTTACAAAATCCTGCCAATTTTGGATTTCGTCCGATAAAAATTGTCAGTGGTGTAAAATTCGCCCAACCCTTTAAGGCAACTTGGTTTTAAGTTTGGATGTAAAGAAAATAATGAGCATGATGACACTTTTGTTTCGGAAAATCGTGTCGTTAAGGAAAGAATGAAATGATCCAGGTATGGAATAAATGTGTCAAAATAATTTTCTATGCTATCTGTGTTGTAGTTCGCACGCCCACTCGTGAAACAGTTCTGGAGCAACCGAAATTTCCACTCGAAGTCGATGGCTACTCTGAAAAACCGCCATCAGTAGTAATAAATAACACCACTTATTTTATACTTCTTATTAGCTGAAGTATCATCATCAGTATTTGTAATTTTTTTCTTGAAGAAATTTCAGATATCCATATTTCTCTGTTTTTAAATAAATTATTAAATTTAAAATTTAATCAAGAGTACTTACGCTTGAATTTTGAAATAAATAAATAATAAAAATTATAGTCAACAAAACGCCGGTTTAACAACTGTTCGTCTTTACATGTCACTTCACCACAGATAAAAAGTGAAAACGGAATGAATTTTTGGACGTAAACGTTAGCAATAAAATATTTGCTCTTGTAATAACTGTAAAAAGCAAATAACGAAACAACCCATAATTCAGTACCGGTTAAAAAGGATAGATTTATGATGTTTCCAGGCAAATCTGGGCCGAACACAGGGTTTCAAAACCAAATGGTCTAAGTTTGTCACATTTCTGTGTTTGTGTGGCAATAAAACTGAAAGTGTAGGGCATGTACCTACTCTTATAAATGTGCTAAAGTTTAATTTTGACAAATAAAAAGGAAATTGACGCAGAATCTCAGGGGGGGCCATGGCCCCCCCTGGCCCCCCCCTATGGGCGCCCATGGTTAGTGACATGGTATTAATAGCTTAGAAAATGTTTCATTTGGATTATTTAATGCGGAATGTTACTAAAATAATATCCACTGGAAAATATATTATGTCATTATCAAAAAATATCATAAAAATATCAATTTTTGCAAATTATATGTAATGTGATTTTTGCCCGAAACTTATTATTCATAAGTATATATGAACTTGTAATGCAACATGTGTACAACATACGAGTCGTACATATTGAAATGATATTCGAAAAGAACCAAAGACAAAATATTTCTCTTCTTTAAGGATGGGTGCTCCAACCTTCCAATACATACCTAGTTTTAATAGTTTTAGTTTAGGTTTTGCAAATACAGGCTCACGCCTATAGGTAAAGACAGGAATTTGTGAGTTTGCACAACTAATCTTTACACTTACCTTGGTTTCATAAGGTTATAATAATAGTAGGTACTGTAATCTAGTTATACAGTTATTTGATTTACAAATTGATTTTAATTGTTTTAAATATCGAAAAATCTGTTTTCATTACGTCAGTGACCCTTAAAATTTGTTTTAAAATAGTTTTTAAAAATTTTCAGTTTACAATTACTCTGAAATGCAACAATGTACAGTTTGTTTTATTAGAAAAATGTTAAACCGGCCTGTGTAAACATATTGTAGAAAATGTTTTCTTTTGAATTTTCAAATTTAAAACACCCAAAGGTTTGGTAAAATAACGTAAATGCATCTTTACAAATAGGAAAACAATATTTTTTAGACGCCCACATGTCTAATTAAAATTGCTTTCAAACTGGCACCTATATGCCTTTAATGCCTGAAAATTGTATCGTTTACAGTTTTGCCTGAAATGAAAATAACTTTTCTTGAATTGGGCTACCATTTTTTATTATATTTAAGTAGTAGAAATGTTATTACTTATTTTATAAGTATGTGTAGAATAATACAAAATTACATGATGTTGCAATGCAAGTACAGGTTTGAAAATTTAATTTCCACAATGTTTGCTACATTGTTGTTAAAACGACAAGAGTTAATTAAAAAAAAATATCTTCAGAGATCAAATGAAATAAAACCCCTTATCATCATCAAATTTTGAGACCTTATAGCTAAATGAAATAATAATTTTGAATACGGCTATCACTTTTTCTGCTAGTCTTTATGCATAATAAAACACGTGTTCTGGAGTTATTTAGAAATATGTTTATTTATAGATTATTTAACGGCGTCATTTTTGTAGAAAGCAGTAACCGCTGACAATATTTTTTAGTCTTCGTATTAAAAAAAAAATTAAACAAACGATGATGCTGATACTTTGTTTTTAGTTTTATGTTTACATTTTAATGTAACTGCTGTACGGTTCTGTTTTCGAACAGTAATAGTAAAACGGCTCGATATGCAGATTAAGATCTAACTGTAACCAGCAATATCAAATTTAACTGTCATGATTTTTTTCTCTTATTTATTCTCCTAGTTTACATAAAGTGGCATTTGCAGTCGCACGGTTTTACAGTTGAACTGGTATTTCCGTTCAGTTCTCATGAATTAGAATCTGCGGAAAAAGTTAAAAGAGCTATTGTGTGTATTCTTCTTATCGAAATTGGGCCATCGCGAAATTTTATAGCGGAATAATAGTAATGTTGTCTTAGGCACAATACAAACGAGTAAAATAATTACACTTTTATATTGTACGGTGTTTACCTAAATGCCGTAAACATTTCCTTTTCAAATCCACACTTTTGTTAACTAATTACGACAAGTTAGAGAAATAGTCGGTTTGTGTGACCTCGTATTGTTCAAAGTTAGAAGTTAATTCGTGTTTAGTTTCACTTTTAATCGTTTAGCGATTACATTACATAATGAGGCGCATCTGTTTTTTTTTTCTCGACAGCATGATGTCATTATCATAATTATTATTCTAAGTAGCCATTCACGCCCTTTTTGTGGTACAGAAATAAAAGTTAAATAATTCAACAGCTCCTACGCGGCCTATTATGTATTTGAATTTATTTATGAATTTATATCATTGCCCTAATAGGATAAACATTTACAATAACACAAGGGGACGGCTATAATCTGTTTGCATTTATTACAGAGTGAGTCAGTGAAAAGACGAGCGGATAGTTAACACCTAACAATGTTGATTTTGTTTGTTTTGGATAAATAAGTAAAAATAAAAACTTGAATATAAATGGGTATATAAACATAGTAAAAAAAAAAGTTTTTTTATGAGTAGTTATTTTGATCATTTGGAACCGATTAAAACAGAATTTTTATTACCAAAACAGGATTTTAATGTTTTTAAATAAATAAATATTTTTTCGATGACACGTACGGAACAGTGTCGAAACGAAAATGAATTAGCCATCAACAACAGTCTTATTAAAATTACACAGTTGTTCTCAACACATGTTGTTATTATTGAGAAATAATGTACTTTCTTTTTATATTGATTTAAATAATTAGATATTCTATTTTATTGTTCCCATTAAGTGCCGACTTCTTGATCAAATGAAGTGGATATTAAACTTTCTATTCTTTTAAGGATCGTAAGAAAATAGAATATTTATAATTATTTATTTAATCATAAACGCTAACTGATGGTTTAGTATTTGAAAATACATATAAATAAATACACATTTGAATTCGAGTAGGAAAAATTTTGAGCTATGCAACCCATTATACACCAGCGTATAATCATGCATACCTACCAACAACTCTTGCGAAATTTCAGTTTTTAATGTAAATTATTTTTATTGTATTCAGATTTGAACCAAATATGATCTGGATCACGACCTTTTGTATCATCATTGCGTATCGCTGATTAGTTTATATTAAGTCGGGTTAATGTTACTATTTTATGATTTTTAACGTTACCTGTGTCATTTTCTTTGTGGTATTTATTTTATTTAAATGGTTGGTGTCTTTAATTCCTAAAATGAGTTTATATAAAACTGCCATACAAAATATGCATCTTGTTAAAGTGTACAGTAAGTTACCATTTTGGGATTTTATTGATAAATAGATATTTCATCATTATTTATAAACTATTTTTCAACTCACACGTTCTCGTTCTTTGCAGTTTTTGTGTGTAATTAAATACCAGATATTTGTGTAAAACAAATTTCCAATTAATTTTGTAGGCATTTATTGGCTTTTACGAACTAAAAAAAAGAAACATTAAAATTCAACACATTTTTTTTAACATTTATAAAATGCGTGCGGTACATGAACATAATTTTAACACATAAAAAAGAAAGTAGGTAAAATACTGTTGTTATTTTCCCAAAATTTCCAAGAATTTTTTTACGTAATGCCCGGACAAAATGCAATATTTACAGCACAACACAAACGATAATTTTTATTTTTTATATTTATATTTATATTTAGGACTTACATAACAGTAACAACTATGTCATAGAGAAAGTGGCTCAGGTCATCACAAAGAGTTAACTAACTAAACCAAATCTTCACTGAAAAATGGAATCTGAAATGCTGTATAAAACTTTCAGCAAAATCCTTTTAGTTTTTCAAACGTAAAAAAAGGAACATTTTGACAAATGTCTAATATTACGTTATATACATATAGGTATTTAACAAAATATTTGATTTGTTGTTATTAATTATTATCATTACTGTTATTGTTTAGTCTAAACTACTTTTTGGTAAATTAAATGATTGTTTACAAAACTGCGCCGTGCTGCTTTTAAGCTTTTGTTCAAGTTACAACTTACGTTTTTCTTTTGTTATTGTGATTATCATACGATAATTGTTAAAAAAAAGTCATATTCTAATAACTGATGCTGGAGCAGAATAGTACCTTTCTCATCCTTACAACACGCATCAGAGACTGGAATACCACACGCAGCAGGGAATGGACAAGTCAGGTGGTTAAAACATGCAAATCATTTTTATCGCAAAACCATCAAATAAAATTTCATACATTAACAATGTTGTGCTTATGGCGTCACATTTGTAAGGTAGTTCAGTTAACTTTTAGCACATCTGTAGTAAAAGAGCGTTTTTACTTTGTAATTGTTAAAAATAAATTTTTGGTGCATCAGATTTAATTTAACATTACATTTTCCACGTACTTACTTCTCTTAACTCAACGATAATAATATACGGTAAATGGATTGATGTTTTGCTGCGATAAGACACAATGTATTTAAAAACTGTTATCTTAACATCCTCGAAAACCTTCTCCCCGTCGCTGAAATCCAAACCTAAAAATAAAAAATAGAGTTTATAGTGTTAATTATATCTCGACTTATACTACTATGATGTCCTTTTTTTTGCAGATGAGATGCTGGAGGCAGAAAGCCGTGGGGTCGCTGGCCGCCTGGCAGACCTCGAACGTAAAGTGCTCGAACAATCAGACGAGCTAATGTGTTTGAAAGCTACCCTAGCTGAAGCCCTCCGTCGTGTCAGTCAGCTAGAAGGCACAAAAATAAATCACCAACCGTCGATCGTTTCATCACCTCTACGTAACGGTACAGCTAAAGATACCGTCCGTCTGCGAACTCAGCAGTATACCGGCTCAAAAACCACATCCTTAGAAGTAAACCGTAGGAGTTATGGCAGCTCGAACTTACCACAAAGAAGAGCCGTCCATTATCAATCTACGGGAAGTCTACACAGCGATAGTCACAGCTCTAGTAGCGTGTCACCGGTGCCATCGCCATCACCAAGAGCTACACCACTGCCTTTGAACAAGAAACCACCTCCTAGTACTCCTAGTCCAGTGGCGAACGGGAGTAGTACTTTACACAAAAGGTGGAGTTCTACTGGTGATTTCCATCAACATAATGCAAATTCACCGAGCGGGATGCATTCAAAGTGAGTACGTGGTGCTGGAGCGAGGATAGTTGTAGTTTTTTTTTGTTATTTGTTGTGTTTTTGTTTGTTTGGTTTTAGGTTTTCCACAAAATCGTTTTTGAATTTGTACAATACAAGGTCTAATAATTTTCCCACACCAAATTATAAGCATGGGTATGTTTTTTGTTTGTTTTGTTTTATTATTCTTCTATTAATCGTTGTTAACCTTTCCTCAGGTGAGATAAGCATTAAGTATCTTATTTTGCCGTTAATAATTTATTATAACCCTGAATTTACCCTAACTGTATATCCAAATAGAAAACCTAAAATAGAATAGAATTTACTGCTGTATACAGAAAAAAATATTTTTTTACTGACGCCCAGGTTGCTTTTTGCTTCTTTACCTATTTGTTGACTTTTACGGTACTTCTATGCAAAGTAATTTTTTGTATAACGATTTCATGTGGTCGTGCAGAACTAGTAATAGATGGCTTATTCACCAAAAATCACCGTAATTTAAAAGAGTAAGTAGGTGGCAACTTTGAATGGGCTCGATGACCACCATTGAATAATATTGTACAAACAAAACACTTGGTGTGCTGACGATAAAAATGTATGTTATTGTTCTTGTGGGAGTATTTGCAGTGGGAAGGTTATTTGATTATTATTTTCTTTAACAAGTTCCCACTAATAAAAATAAATATTGTATCATCTAGATATTTAAGTAAATTAGCTTAAAACTTAGTTTGGTTAGTTTAATTCTTTGTTAGCTGGCACATTTTGAGATTTATATAAATATTAGATACACGTTATTACGTTATCTATGCGAAAAAGAAATTTTCGCTTTCCAAAACTTTTTTAAACAAAACTTAGATAAGTGTCAACATTAATCTAAAAATTAGAAGATTTATATTCTTGACTATGAAAACAGCAAATTTATGGACTAGTGCCGCTTTGACATTTTCATAAAAATAGGGTTGTATTTAGGGAAAAAATTCTTCGTCAAATAGACACTGCGCTATAATATGTAAAATAATGTAATACTAGCATTACATTATTTTACAATGTTGAAATTCAGCTGCATACTTTTATATAAAAAAGTGAAAATTCATATTCTACCACTATAAAGAACCCCCAAAGGCGGGTCAGTTTAGTTACAGAATGGTGAATATATGCTTCTGTACATCGTTTGATAACCGCTAATCTTCGACCGAGGGGCTGTGGTTTATATTTTTACTGATAAGAGGCTTAGTTTTTTTAACTTTTGGGTTGTAAAATGTTATTAGTATGCAATAACATTGATATGAATAAGTAATAAATAATATATAATAAGAGATAATAAGATTTTGATAATAGAAGAATTTATGTTACCAATGATGGACCGAAAATTTGAACTTTAGCTGCCGAGTTCCCTAAAATGCGACCTAGATCCCTAATGGAATGGAAATTTGACGCACCAGCCATTTTTCTGGCTTTTCGTTCGTTGTTTATGTATTTATAAATTGTCATGAGCAACCAAACGCATCGCTCTCTTATGAGAGACTGATGTTTCATAAAATTTCTGCGAATTTTTTACAAAGAAAATCTGTAAGGGAGTAAGGTATATTAGCGGCGTTGTTCGGCATAATATAACATTATTACGTCGATCATCGCCGCTAATATGCTTCTTATTGTCGGCCTTATCTACATATTAAGTATTATTTGTGTCTTCTTTTCTTGTCATACTTCATTTTTAATATTATTCTAAAAATTTCGTCTCCTTGTTCCTTGTTGATTACGACTTACGACCAAATATTGCTGCCCTTTTTACACCATAACGTTTTATTCAGGAAAGATGATGTGGATATAGTGAAGTGTTGATTTTTATTTTAAGAACAAGTGACTGATGCGACATGAATAGAAAAAAAAATAGTCGAAGGTTATTTCGATAGGACTTCCCTGGCCCTTGAAGTAGTCCAACAAATCCCGTTTGTTAAAAAATAAAAAAAATGGATTTTCCCAATTTTTTTTGTGATAACCGATAACCTTTATACATTATAATAAATACAGACGAGTAATACCAGTAGCCGTATAAGAAGGTGTACTGGATTCCAAAATATAGTGTGTGGCTTTGACTTTTTAAGTATTTTACGGCGGACCCTTCATAAACCTCGACAGCTGCTAACCCCGGCACATGCCACCGTCAAAGAGATAGGCAAAAGACCGTACTTCTACCGTCTTCTCTGGCAAACTGATTTGTGACACCCAGCACAATTTTTCGAATTTTATAAAGGTTAAACTGCGATCAAATCTTAAAAACACCATATTTTGGCGGTACAATAAATGAAATCTTGTAACTGGAGGTCTACTTCTTCGTACACCAGGGGTCATGTAAGGTCGAGAAAACATAAAAGTAGGGAGTCGGCCGATGGACTCGATTACAATACTTCCTTAGTTTACATTGCAACTGGAACTTTATGCAGACAAGAGATAGAATATGACTTTGAATGGTCTAAAATACTAAGTTATATGTCTTAGTTAAATATGAAATTCGTATATATTTAATAATTTAAAGAATAAGCTGCATAATGTAGCACGAAATCATAATATCATTTTGTGTTATGAAAATTGATCAATAATGCACCAATTAAATTATTTTAGCAATAAAAAGTGCACATTTTAACTGTTCCTGATCAGTTTTACTTGTGATAAAAACTGAGAAGACCTACCAAAATATATACATATAACTTAATAAAATATTAGCTATAAAATTAAAAACACGACATTGCAGTAATATCTTGGATGCAAAATATTTTGTCCTTAGAAGCATAGGTATTGGCTATTGCCACCGGGTGTTCAATTGAAAAAGTCATCACAGTGGCCTTGATTTTGTGTAAACATTGTGAAGTATGAGTACAACAAACCAAAAGAAATGTTAGCTGTATTCAACAGTATGGATTAGTAAAACAAATTTAAATTTTTTAGCAGGTATTCTATTTTAGTGATCAAATCACCCCGTCTTGTGGAGAATTTGAGTGTACAGTATTGTTATTATTGGTATTACACTGCACAAATTCAAATTGATATATTATGTGTCCGTGATACAGTGTTGATGACGTAACAAAATTTTGGTTTGGAAAATCTCACTTGAAACGAACGCATAACATGCGTCTGTAACTATGCTTCCACATCTATCTTTATTTTAACTTATAGAGGTCATCATACAAAAAATAAACTTTATAAAAATATTCCGCAATTTAAAGTTTGCAACTACAAAACCGACTGCTCTGAAATTTTGCAAGGTTATACTAAGCATAGTAAATCCATCAACATTCCCCCCTCCACTCCCATCCAAATGAATACGTGATCTTACATGTTTGTCGAATGTTCTTCAAATTTATAAGTGTAAAGAAAGAACGCTTCAATAGTACTTAGTAAAATTATATTGGTATTTCAAAGTTACCAAGGAAGGTTGGACACATAAAACCATAAATCACAAATTCAATTCAACCCTGGATGTTTCTAGTCCAATATACACTGGCGGCACGCTTCTTTTATTGGCGTCATTATCCCCCTGCATTGTCCGGCAATCCCTCAAAGTAACAGTTGTAAAATTTTACTAGGTACTGTTCAAGTGTTCTTTCTATACGTTAAACTATACCTACTTTAAGGGCGAGGGAAGTCGAAATAACCCTCGACCATTTTTTTATATTTAGTACTACTGAATAATTGAACTGTCATTACAACACCAATAAATAGTTTTTATTTCTTTATTCTTGTCGTCTGGTTTGTTTTCAGTATCAACTATACTGTCAACTGATTTGTTAAAAAGTCGTTAATGCATACCTACCAGGTGTTTTCCAGGCAACAGCTCCTTATTAGTTTAGATATATACCTATATGCGATAAAATCTGAGTTTAATGACAAATTGTGTAGCATATGAAAAAAACAATCCACAATGTGTTGTGGTTGTTAGCTTTCCCAAAATTATACTTTTATATCCAACGTGATCAATTTTTTTTCTCAAATATGTAGGTATTTGTCATTTTTTGTAGGATGTCCCATAACGATTTTTTTTTATAGCAGCGACCTGTTCCATGATATATTAAGATTTAAACACTTTTATATCAACAAATATACCTATGCAATCACTCAAATTTGCTTAGACAGAACTGAACATTTTTGGGTTTCGTAGATAGTTAAAAGAATTCGGCGTTATTTGTATGTAAGTACATGAATCAAAAATGTTTAAAATAATTTACCTGCTAAAATTAGTCATGGAAGCGTATTTAAAACTATCGAAATATCACAAATTTTCGTTGGTTAATTCAAAGTCAATAGCAGTTTATTACATATTATGTACAAAGAAGTTGAAAATTGTGGAATAAGTTCATTTCACTCAAAACGACTACTTTTTACTTCCTGACCGTAAGCTAAAGAAGTATGTAGTAATCGAGTCCATCGGACGAATGGCCACTTTTATTTTTGGAAAACTATGCATAGGCCTATTGATTATTTTTTTTAATAAACAGAAAAGATTATTTGAATATTTTTGTTTTTAAATGGCAGCACATAATTTTGTCTACCAATCTTGATAGACTTCGCAAGTATTTCACATAATTTTCAAAATTTTTTGTGTCCAAAATTTTATAATGTCAAGTAAAAAAAAGCAGTTATTTATAGGCTTACAAGATTCACGAAAAATAATAAAACAAATTGAGTTGCTAGCGAAAAAAATCTATTGACGCCACTACTTCTTAACTTTAAACTATACCTACATTAAAAAAATAGCGGCTCGCTGGATTACAATAGCTTATACGTAGGAAGTAAAAATTGATCTATCCACGCATTTCTGAAAAAAAGTGGTTTAACTACATGTATTGCATAATTTTCTTTGTATATTATTAGGTCATTATGCTTATGCACAATGAATGACCATCTGATTCTAAAATCATGGTAACTAAAATCTACAAAATATTATTCATCAGACCAAATTTGTTTTCTGGTTATAAAGTAATAAAACTTAACATGAGTAGTTTAGTTAGGTATTTATATTAAAGACAGTTTTTAGTTATCGCTCATAAAAAAAAAATCGAAAGCCATGTCTTTGACTTTCATTATAAAATAAAAAGCTGTAGAAAGCCTCTATTTATTTGATGATTTTGTGCAAATAACGGTACCTAACCACAGTGCATTTTTCACACCTTGAAATAAATTAAAGTTTACTCATCGTAGATTCCCATCGTAAATACACCATTTAATTATGAGTTTCGTGATAAACTCCTTAACCCTAGAATATCCGTCTTCACACCCACCAATTTATAACCCTATTTATAAAACACATTACTATATTACCATGATAAGTTTTGAAGGTCCAACTCGGGATCGATAAACGTCACCAGTTTTCCTCCCCAGCAGAAAAATTTACGGTTTTGTTTTGACATAAAATTCCGCAGCGAAAACATTTAAACGAATTGGTAGTCTGTTTTTTTGATAAAGAATTATTGTTATCTCTTGGTCAACTTTAAACATCCGAGCGGCAAAAATCAATACAGTGTACTAAAATATAATCTTTTACCATATAACAAGATAAAACGATTGTTTATTTATGAGCGATGTTCTAAAAATAGAACATGCAGTGTGATGATGCACCTTGACGACACTCAAACTTTGTGTGTGGTAGAAATTCACACTTTACACTCCCATGCAATTAGAAAAATTGCTGCTTCGTACGGATAGTGTTTTGTGGTATACTGCGGTGTTCCGGTAATACATGGTCAACCATTCGTATCAACAATAACAGCAAATGGGTTTAGTCTCGGTTTAGCTTTCGACGGTAGCGGCAGCGGTTCCTAAAATCCTAAATTCTAGAAAAATGTCTGCGAATGGGTACAAATTGTTTCTTAAGTTTTTGCACTTTTTTCAACTTACTTGTGTATTTTCAGAACTAAAGAGGCCACCTTCAATGAGGAGGAAAAAACGGTCAGAATGTTCCTGCGTGGCCGCCCCATCATCTTGTATGTCCCAAGTGAAATGGGTGACAGCTACGATATTACCAAAGTGACAACGGCACCGGCCCAAAAACTGAAACTGGACTGGGTTTATGGATACCGGGGGCGAGATTGTCGTTCTAATTTGTACTATCTGCCAACGGGTGAAATGGTATATTTTGTAGCAGCGGTAGTCGTTTTGTATAATGTAGAAGAACAGAGCCAGAGGCATTATTTGGGGCATACTGATGATGTAAAAAGTTTGGCCATTCACCCAAATAAGATGCTGGTGGCAACTGGACAGTGTGCCGGGCATGACCGTCGGGACGCGAGGGTAAATATATCTGAATTAACTTTTTAACTAATACAACATACAATTACCGAAAATGCAGTATTTTTTTATGTTTTCAAAAGCAAATCGCTCAAATATAAAAATTACCCATACATGTTTGTATTAGAAATAAGTGAAACATATTTCACTATGGAAATACTTAATCCAACAATCAATACCTATTGTTTTCAAACTCTGTTGTAAAAAATGCGTGAAGAAAGGTTGTCTATCGATTCTTAAATTGGATTACTATGTGTAATATAACTTATACATCTCGTTTGTGAAGGTCGTGTTTTCTAGATTACGATCTACTGGAAGTATAACGCATTATTGATTTTCGTTTCAACACATCCAGCAACTTTTTTTTTTAAGGAAAAGTATAGTGACGGGTATTTCACAGTGAGTTGCTATGGGTATTTTATAATTACCAAAGGTTGTGCAACAACGACAATTTAATTGTTACTGTTTACCGTATTTAACTGTTTTCTAATGAACACACTGGGCTACTTAATTACCGTAAAGTCATCAAACTAATGTGCATTTATAAGCTTGCACCGTTTCATTTTTTATTTTAATGAAATGGAAGTAACAGGATAGTATTTTTTAAATAAACAAGTTTCTTTTTTAATCTTTCGAGTTATGAAATAATGAAGGGATATGTAATTTTCCACCTAAACTAAAAATAAATACTAAAATTATTCAGATAGAACCTACCCTGAGTCTGAAGCCAACAAATACCAACACAATCATATGTAGGTACTTGTGAACTGACAGCCAGAAGGGCAACAGATTTTATTTAGAATACATCTGAAGCTTACATCTAAAGAGGCGTTATTACTTTTTCTTCAATCCACAAGTTAACTTAAGGTGTGGTTACACATTTGGCTGTACTGTCCTTTTCCGTGAAACATACACTTTGACGTACAGAGTGAGACACAAAATCACGAATTCTAATGTAGACAGTCTGTTTTAAACGGTTTTAAATTAAATAGCCACTACAGGATCAGCTGCTTCTAAATATAATTGATAATGTAGGTTCTGTGTACACAGGAGAAAATATTACAATGAATATGTTAGAAATGTCAAGTATAAGGGGGATTTAAAATCTATAAAAATGTTGTATAACAGGACAACATCAAATTCTTGCCTCTTTGTTGTGTGCACATTTTGCACATTATTACAAAATGAATACAGGGATACATATGCACATCTATTTTAGGAGCAAAACATTTTTACTTACGTATACGCTTAGGATATTTTGATTTTTATCATCAAGTGGTAGTTTTCAAATTTATAAACAGATCCCATTTATGTGCATTTTATGAAATTTTGAAGTACGTAACTTTTCATTATTGTAAATTTCGGCGTTAAAGGGAAAAACCGGATATTCATCAATTAATCGTTGTAGACTTCAAGACCACAAACAATTAATGCATTGTTTTGAAACGTTAAATTCTGGGTACAGCAAAATAAATAACTGGTTATTTACGGAACCATGAAGTGTGCAGAAGGTCATTACAATGCACTTAGTAATGTAATTATTTAATTTATTAACACAAAACAGTTGTTTTCTTATTAAAGATTACATTACCTGATTAATTTATTGCACTTGTAAAACTATAATGCATGATCACATATTATCGTCTACAAAATAGCTTTTTTTGCACAAAATGCATTGAAGCTTTTTTTAGCCACATATTCGAGTCTGGAATTCCGTGTCCTTACACACGCAAGCCATAATAGGGATGAACGATTTCGACGTATCTGTTTGTTGTCTGTCGTTCAGTAAAGCTGACGGAGGCTCACTTCTCCTAGCAGTTGATGAAGCTCCCGACCACATCATTTCAATATGGGACTGGCAGAAGGGTGACAACGGTCACAAAATAACGGAAACGAAGGTGCAACATTCCCATTAGCCCAAAGCTATGGTTAACTCCTAAAATTACAGTGTTCAGTCGACACCATTGTTGCTGCTGAGTTTCATCCGCTAGACCGTAACATTATAGTGACTTGTGGTAAAAGTCATATCGCTTTCTGGTCATTAGACGTCGGGGGTACTCTTTACAAAAGAATGGGTATCTTCGAATCACGCGACAAACCCAAATATGTAACCTGCGTGGGTTTCCTGCAAACTGGTGAAACTATAACCGGCGATTCCAATGGAAATTTAGAGGTGTGGGGAAGGGGAACCAACACTATATGGAAATTTATTAAAGGTGTCCACGAGGGGGCGGTCTTTTCTATCTGTGTGTTGAAAGATGGAAGTATTGTTACTGGCGGTGGAAAGGATGGAAGGATTGTTCTTTTTGATTCAAGCTTGCAGAAGCCGCGGGAAGAAACTCAGGTTTGTAGAAATGTACAAAATTAACTAACTAACGAAATTTTCTTTAATACAATCTTCGTCTTCTAAATACCACTTAAATTTAACTGATGTCATTATATAATCACTATATATTACATAATGTATATATACATTTTTTTTTTCTAGATTGAAGGTCACTTTGGAGGTATCCGCGTCGTGTCGGAAGGTTGCGGTTCACAACTTATCGTTGGTACCACGAAGAACTGTATACTCACCGGTACCGTTGAATTAGGTTTTCAACCTATTATTTTGGGCCACACTGATGAACTTTGTAGTTTAGCATCGCATCCCAGCATACAACAATTTGCAACGTCTGGATATGACAAAGTGTTGCAGCTATGGGATGCTATGTCACACAGTATCCTATGGAGTAAAGATATTGGGGTATGTTTCCTATCTTCGTGAAAGAGCACATATAACATTGATGTATTTCAGGAACAAGCGCAAAGTTTAGCTTTTACAAAAGATGGAACCACGGTGATCGTGGGATGTACAACGGGTCGATGGATGGTATTCGACATACAGACTCGTGAACTTTTAGAAAGTCATTCCGATGGTGCTGAACCCATTCAAACAATTCAGTGTTCTCCAGATGGGAGCATGCTAGCGTTAGGATCACGCGATAACAACATATATATTTACCAAGTGTCTGAAGAAGGGCACAAGTATAACCGTGTGGGAAGATGTATGGTATGTTTTTCATGCACTTGTAATCCATAATTATGTTGTTTTTTCTGCTCTTCTTGCTAATGCTTATGTGTTGTTCTTGCTTACTATATTTCAAGGGGTGCAATGTAACTCATGGAACTAAATCTATGGTACTGATTATTTAATATTCTGTCTTTATTTTTCCGTATATTTATAATTTCGTTTCTAGGGCCATTCAAGTTACATTACTCATGTAGATTGGTCAACTGATAGTCAAACTTTGCGGACGAATTCTGGAGATTACGAACTTCTATACTGTAAGTAATTGAGTTCTCAATTAAGGTTTTTCTAGATTTTCTACCTAATCCAAACTAAAACATTGTTCTGAGGCATGTAATTATTGCTATTTCGTTCTTTGTTTCATTGCGTGGAAATTAAAGCACAATACTTTTATTGTATTATTAATATTGTCATCTGAACTATTCCCAGAAAATATTCACTATCACCGAAACAACTTCAAATTGTAAAAGTTATATATTTGCTGGTACCAAATTTCATTGGTATTTAATTTTTTGTAAAACCAACTATGTACTGTTAATCTCACTATGTGCCCCTATTAATGAACACTTTTTAACAGGGAATGCGGCAACCTGCCGACAAATACCTCAAACAGGTGTCATGAGGGATGTAGAATGGGCAACTAACAACTGCACCATAACCTTCACTACAATTGGAATATGGCCAGAAAATGCTGATGGTACTGATGTAAACTTCTGTGATCGTAGTCATGATGAGAAACTCGTAGCAACAGGGGATGATTTTGGAAAAGTAAAATTATATAGTTACCCCGCTTCGCAACCCAAAGTAAGTTTACAAATTTTTCACTTAAGTGTGTTTTCGCGATCACTTTGGAGAAACCAATCACACTGTTTCAATTACGCGCTAAATTTAAATACTAATTAAATGTAAAGTAGATTTAACTGCTTCGTGTTTTAAACTAACCAATGTCAGTATTCCAAAAAAGCGGGCAATTTGAATGAGTGTGATCGGTATATTGTATTTTGTGTTTTCCATTAATGACTTTTAACATTCGTTTGTAGTCGCTTTGTCACAGCTACGGTGGACATAGCAGCCACGTGATGGCCGTGAATTTCTTGCATGACGACACTAGGTTGGTTTCAATAGGAGGAAAAGATACTGCCGTTTTACAATGGACTGTGTCTTAAATGGTTAAGATCCATCCAAGTATTACAACGGATGCCTTAATTAAACGAGCTGTCACTTTTTAAATATTTATTATGTTAATTGTGTAGACTGGTGATCTCAATAAACAATGCGTAATTGTTTAGTGAAATCGCTCCAGAAAAAAAGCTGTTGGTGACCGGCATATTTAACTTAAGAGGCCTTATATAACAACTAATTCATTCCAAGCTTCTGAGTGCAAATTAGCACAATATGTTTACGACTCACTAGTAGAATCAATGGTTGTTCATCCGAATTAAAAAAAAAATTAAATAAAATTTGTCGTTGATCAAGTGCCACAAATGTTCCATTTTTAAGCAAAAGTGTAAGTAGTCCACTGCAAAATGTTCTTGAAATTGTTATTTATAGTATGTTGTACACAATTATTATACGTGTGATAAATAAAGTGTAAAAGTAAACGTGTATGCTTCAACCTTTTACCTTTTGCGTAAGAGCATGTCAGGATGAAATATGATACGTAACGCTGAGGGAGTATCGGTATGATGTTGCTGATCATGTGAAGTTGGTGAAAGTCTGGGATTTTTTGTGATTGTGAGTTGTGCTCGCAATCGTATTTCGCGCACTGCTGAAATTCACGTGGGTTGAAAGTAACGCGAGCGCCTCTAGACTGCATGTGAACGTTCCGTGTTTAAAATTAGCCGAAATTCTTATAAACCTTTATATCGCGGCACTGAAACACTGAAAATTAAACAGCTGTGCGTGTTAAACTGCATTTTAATAACTCTCCATTCTCAAAGTGCTGTGACATATTCCGAGTGATGCCTTCATTATCTTCACCAACACAATGTAAGTTAAATTTAGACGAATCCTAGACCAGCTGCACTGTTTAATTACAACGAATATTAATTATGAGCATTCGCAATTTCATAGACCAAGAAGTAGGACAAAACAGAAAGCATTGAGTCATGTTGACGAATTTAAAAATAAATGGATTAAGAACATGTAAACATTTGTGCTTCAGAATTTTGGATGGACCTATTGCGTTCAATATGTCGTAGATAATACTGAAGATTTTCCATAAATCAACGATTAATCAGCAAAATATTGCGAGATGATATAAACAGTTTTCAAAAGAATCGTTTCGGAAAGTTTCTCCCAAGCAATAACATTATTTAGAGCTTCAACTTTTTCTCAATAATTTGTTTACTAATACACCAAAGCACGAGCGTATTGATACAATGTTTTGCTAGGGTACGCAATTTATTTTTAACGATTTTAATTGAAAGTAAACAAAGACGCCAAAAATCTGTTTTTGTGTTCGGAAGCTTCTAATAAATCATTTTTTAAATCGTTTCCGCGACACTTCGAGTCAACACATATAACTGCAGTTCTTGGTTCCTTATATTCCTAGATTTCTTCGAACTCGCACGTTCGCAGCCAAAAAATATTTTCATTAAATCTGATGGTGTTGCGATTAATAATTAGGGCACCGACGCTGCGTTTTAAAAATACACCTGTCTAGCACTTACAAGCTGTTGAAAATCGGTTGTAAAAATTCCGAAACGCGCGCCTAATTTGAACATGATATCAAAGGAATGATAGTAATTGAAGTATTAAGTAGGTACCTCTTTGTAGTATAACAGTAAATCATTAAATATCAGTACGAAGTTTGATCGTAAGAAAACAGATCTTTAATTACCTTTACTAACATTATTATTAAGTGTTTATCTCTTCTATGAAGAAAATGAGTTACAACACAAAGTTCATTTACCTCCCTGTCAGTGTTTTTTCCATTATTTTACATCTATAAATCACATTCAATATTCATTTATTGCTTGTCCACCAATCGCTATCGATTTAGGTACGAGTAATTCTCGTTTTGAGGTGTGAGTCACAGGGAATTTTTGTGACTTTATGTAAAAATGTGATAAATTTTCTTATCATTTATGGCATTAAATAAGATAAGTAAAGTACCGCCTTCACAAATCTGTGTAATACCTGTAAAATTCAATTTTTATTATTTTTGCTTTCAGCAGCTGTTATTTGTTTTTTGGAGTATTAAGTGGCTACAAAATAAAAACTGTCATTTATTTCCTCATTATGTCGTGTTCTATTATAATTAAAGACATCTATTTAAGAGTGGAATCTTAATTTTATTTGTGACTAAAATGTACTACTACCTAAATAAAAAAATCTCCTTCACTAATAATATAAATATAAGAAGAAAAATCCAAGCACTCGTTTCGATTAAAATATATTTGTGACGGAAAGTTATGCGAGATTTCATGGACTGTATTTGCTTGAAACATCTGTAAAATAATACTCCTAATATACATGTGATTTAAAAATATCGGTTTTTCAACAACAGTATGATTTTAAAATGTAAAAAAATTACAAAAGATTGGGATTATATACAGACCAGCAAAAAAACCGGTTACTTTGAAATATTTGCAGTTTCGGTTACATTCTTTAATTAAATTTTGTATTTATTTGTCTCTTTTTTTAGCTAATTTCTGTATCCTATCTTAACACTGAAGGGTTCTTTAGTAAAATAACAACCACTAGTTAAATTAATAATTTTGAAAGTGGTTTTGTGAAATATTTCAGGATGGCTGGTTTTTGGCCGGTCAGTGTACAATTTGTCCAATGAATGTGTCACATGCCAATCTTACGAAGAATAAGCCACCTATCGCCAGCTTCGCAATTTTACAACTTTCTCTGACACATCCGTACTTGAATTGAATACCCGTGAGAAGAGTATTCTTGGACAAACTTTTTATGTAAATGTACTGTTTATGAATCAACTTACGCTTAGTGTCGTGACTTTTTTTATAATAATGGAAAATCTTCTGTTTATTTATGACAAAAGAGTACCTGCTGTTCTTTCCTCATATCCACTGTCCCCTATTTGTTTTAAAAATATAATCGTTTTTAGCTATGGATACGGTATATCCCGAGCCGATGTCGAGGCTCCACCGACGAGTGGTGCCGAAAAAAAGAAGAGGTGGCTCCTCAAGGTACCGTACACAGCCTGTAACGTTCTCAGAAATACAGGTACCCCAGAATTTAATTATTTAATAAAATATCCGAACTGTGTTCTTTCCAGGAAGTAGACGAAGATAATATCGAAGACACAGTCCCCGAATCTGCTACTTCCAAATCAGAGCTAAACTTACTCAACAAGAAGTTTGAAGAATTTAAAAGAACCAGAGACTTAATACTTAGCAAAAGTGATACAGATAATGTCGATATTAACAAGAATTCAGTACCTTTGTCAGTATCTAGATCTACGGGACGGCTGCCATCGAGACCCTCTTTCTGATATAGATAAATCAAAAGCTGAGAATCTGGAAAGTGGACATCGGGAACTTACTCTCATTCATTACTATTGTTTCAGATTAACACGTTATAGTTAATATGTTGCGCGGATTTCTGGTTAACTATTTTTAGATGCTAGATCTTGTATTATTTTTTATGCTTAACCTCGCATGGTGCTTTAAATTGTTGTTTCTTTTTTACAAAAAAAGTATTTAAGCCTAGATCGCATTATAAAGTATTTTATTATCCACATAAAATATCCAATAAAAATTGTGGGATTGTGTAATGATGTCGACAATCTACATACGTTCGAAAGACATAATAGCTAATAACGAGAGCAAGTTGCATCAAGGAATATATTGAAAAAGAGTGTATTAAAAGCGATTTGGCACACTATACACAGCTCTGGTTACATTTTATTCATAGTACCTACCTCACTGCATTTCTAGGAATGGCGTCCAGAGAAGCTTTTCACTGCTGTTTGATGCTTATCGACGTTTTATATAAACATCACACATCGTTTTTCTGACACCACACGCTTAAAATAAGGCTATTTTTTATTTGTTCTATCAAGAGTGTACAATTAGCGATAAATGTCTTGTTTTTTCCCTTAGTGACGTGTTTTTGAAGTTTTTGTCCACGATTCAGCATTTTGAAAAATTCTGTTTGCTTTTTATCCGTTGTACGTGTTTTACGAATATGCAGTTTTTCTAAAAGCTGTTGACAATAAATTTTCATCCCCATTGAAACTGATAGCATATGAGAATGTTTGATGTGTGTGTCTATGTCCATGCGTGTCCTTATGCTTTTACTTGTTGGTTTGACTGTCTTGTATCAATTCTCGATGTCCTAGATGGAAACGCAGTTAGTAGATACTAGTTAAGTGTATATTTTATTAAGTCTTTGTATGAAATTTAGGAGGTAGATTTGTATACAACAATGTAGTAATAATTAACAGTATGGAATAGTTTAATTTCATACTTCCTATATTTAACATGGAACGTCTTTGTGTAAATAACATTTTATATTTATATAATATACTTTTGCGTTATAAATTATCACTTATTGTTATTAATTTTTCGACTTATCCTAAACATATTATCACGCATTCTGTCTTACATTACGTATAAATAATAAATATACAAAACATTTATAGCTAAAATAGGTAGTATTTTGGTAGCGATACGCCCTGAGCCTTGAAAATGTATCTCTTATTGAAAATACTGTCTCAGTTAAGTCACACTTAACGAAAATTACTTAATTCTAAGAAACGCGCGCAACTTGGCGTCTATTGTCCGCATCAAAACTCAGAGCGCCCTCTTTTGGTAAACCTAGGTACTAAATGCATTTATTATTATCTGGATGGCCCCGCTTCACTGGGCTGACTAGAAGTAGTATGGATGGTCTCTGGGGGATGCAGCGTAATTATAGACTGTCTCCTCGCCGGAGTGACCGGCTGTGAATGCAAAATAGCGTATAAAGGACCTTCCCTTTCCTTCGAAGGACTTACAAGCATTGATGGTTGCTGCTCGTCTTCCATCTGCATGCTGGTCTCAGCAGCCGAAGGAATAGTCGTCAGGAACCTGACAGTTAACCTGCCGGGAGATCCCGGAAGATCAGCTTCGTCCTGTATGGCACTCTGTCGTGTCAACCGTGGCTTTGCTCTCATCCTGTTGGGTTCGCTCGAGGCACTCGAACGCGATATCCGCCAGGTGCTAGTGCTAGCTGTGGTCGCCGAACCAGAGGAATCGTTTCTCGAGCTCGATAAATTAGAGTCTTGTGAAGTTTTTCTGGTAACCAACCAGGAGGATGCTCTGCGTTTGGGATCCAATAACCTCAAGGGAATCCCGCAATGGTGGTTATGGCGCCACGAATCCGATCGTGACGAACTGAAGTTCTCTGAAGAGGAAACTGAAGAGGCTCTCTTGTGTTGCTTCTGCTGAATTTCGGCTATTTGATAAGTATACTGGTCAGAGCGAGGCCTATGACGGGGTTGTCTTCTCACACAGAGTAACCATCTGGCTTTGCTCAACAACCACTCGCGCGTTCCCTTCTTCCGGTCAGTCCTTTGTGGAGGAGCGTTTCTCTCTCCCAGCAATTTCGCGTTACACGTACACGTTGGTACGTGATGGTTCTGGTTCTCACGGGACGACCTATCAGCTAAACTATTAGTATTCGCCGGAGTTTGTCTATTACTAAAGTTAGAACTATGGCGACACCGTCCAATGCCACGCGTAACCCGGCTCTCTTCAATCGCTTTACAGATCATCACACAGTCCTTCTTGAACTGCTTCGTCAAGATAGCGTACAGAAACGGGTTACAACACGAGTTTAGAGGTAAAACGAACACAGTGAACACTTTGGCTTGTTCCAGCGAGATTAACTGCAGACCGAAAGCGGCAGTCAATGAGAAGAACGCTATCGGTGACCAGCACAAGAAGTCTGTAAAAACTAAGAGCGCCATCCGTTTGGCGATCCGTGAGTCGTTGGAATTCCAAGCTTGGGAGCCGCGAATGGCGCAGTACATCTTGAGATAGCAACCCATCAAGATTAGGAAAGCTACGCCATTGATGAACATCAAGAAGACGACGTATGTCAAGCTGGCGGCATCTTTGGTTTCGAAGGGGAGGCAGACGGCGAACTTACGGTAGTCGGAGACGCTGAATAAGGGGAGAAGTCCCATGACTATGGCGAAGCTCCAGCCACAGATCATGATGTAGCCGGCATGTTTGAGCGAAAGTCTTTTGTTCAAGTGCATGGCGTGAGTGATGGCGTAGTTCCGCTCGAGAGTGATTACGGCGAGTGTGTAGACTGACAGTTCCGAGCTGAGCACGCCCAAGAAACCGGATAATTGACAACCGGCGGACATCTGCCACGGGATTGCGTACATCCGGAACTCTCCGAGCGTCGATGCGTCGACGACTGCTAAAAAACCTGCAAGAGGGTTGGAATTAAATGATACACATTTCAAAGATTTTATTTTTTGTACATATATCTTATTTTTCTACTGACGTAATTGTTTACCTACATTATTTGCAAACATGAAATAGGTACAACATATAGAAAAATGTATTTATTTTATTTCACGTTTTCGGAACTACGTAATGCAGCTTAAAACGTTAATTTTCCAAAATCCTTTGATATTTTTTTTAAACAAAAACACGACGCTTATGAAAAAATGACTTTAACTGTATTACGCCAGTCAGTTCTATGTCTAAAAAAAAAAAAAGACAAAAGACAAAATGGTGAGATCTTGTTGACACAACAGCAACTTATTAATTAATTATTATCTGTCACATACGAAGTGCATTAGGGATGTATCAGTGAATTGGTTTGAGTCAATGAAGTAGTCTATAGACATTAGACAGACAGAGGAAATTTTCTCAACTGCTTCTAATAATCAGCCATTATAATAAACATTTTGACACTCAAAACCTCAATTCTATTAGTCAAGATCACCATGGTGAAAGAAGATAATGTCGTTGACTCTATCCGATAGTGGATTTAGGGCCGAATTCTGTAAATTAACCTTTTAATAAGGGATCCGTTTGTTAAAGGCATTAGCGTAAAGGAAATGTGAAAGTGAATCCTTGTGCGTCAGTTCGACTTTATGTAAAGGAAGGAACGGATGTTTTTACTACGATAGTATACGCAAGAGAGACGGAATCTATTGTACATAACCTCAAATTTTCACACTATCGGTATGGTTGGTGTGACGGGCTGGGGAGATTTTTAAACTTAACTTTTGTTAATTTATGAAATATGAAATTCTTGTCGTGGTCTTTGTGCTTGACATATAGTAAAAGTATTATTTATTTGCTCGTAGGTTGGTTCGTGATGATGGTTACACATTAAAAACTTAAAAAACACTTTATGAAATCATGTACATTTTTGGAGATATCAGCACTGGCCCCTTATGTACCAACACACTCGAGTGGCAACTGGTCAGGAGAGTCTGGCCTTTAATGGATTTTTTGGTCTTTTATAAGTAAAGACTCCTCCAAAGGAGTTATTTTTGCAAAGTTGTTTATTAGTTACCAACCTATTTGGAGCATCGTAAAAGTATTTGTATTTCCACCAAATTGGGCTTAATATGACGATTTTTAGTGCTTTTTGTTATATTAACAAATTTAAACAATGAAATTATAAAACTAGACAAAGACATCATTGTTCTGACTCATGTATACCTTTATTGTAATTCCTCTAGGATAAATAATCACAGATTCTCCATTTCTTCCCTTTTATTTAGAAACGGTCACTATATAAAACTAATGAAACTGACAGATAATTTGCATAAAGTGACACATATGACCATACGTTGCACAAGGGAAACTATAAAGGACTTCACCTTTATGCAACGGATCTATAATGGTCCTTTACGTTTTAGAGAATAGGAACGTCTTTATGTAAAGGACAATCCTTTTACCAAAGTGCCTTTATACTTTACAGAATTCGGCCCTTAATTCTACAAAAAATAGTGTTTATTTCTATGTCAACGGATAATGCTTCTAGATCTTAGACGGCTCGATATAGTATAATTTTTGTACAAGTTTGGAAAAGTCTGCATAGGTACTTTAACAATTTGTTGTGGAAAACCATAATCAAAAAACTCATTAAATGCGTTTTTTACCTAAATATATGCCCATGAAGAAATCTGCTGCAGCAAGATTACACACCAAAAACCTTGGAACATCCATCTTTCCTCTTGAAAATATCAAAACGAAAACGACCGTTCCGTTACCTAACATGGCACATAAAAAGACTATCCACACTCCACATCTCAGGGTCCACCAGTCGAACAAATCTTGACACGGTAAGAAAGGTCCTGGTAATGGTAAGCATTGGATTTTTCCTGGGTTACCATCAGCTCCAGCGACTCTTAAAGCCTCTTCTTCGGCATACTCTTCCATATATGAAGGAAAATTTCCAGGATACGTAAAATCAGAACGAATATTTTCCCAAATGGTTTCGAATTTTTTGCCAAATTTATGACTCAAATTTTCTAGAATAAAAAATATTGCTTATTAAAATAAAAACACTTTCAATTGGCGTTATAACAAAAATCATCTTTGCATGATGACATATGACCATCAACTATTACGAAATTTTACTTGTATGTTCTTAATTTTTTAATTTTTGTAACATTTTTTATCGTCATGTTGTAATTTAAAAAATTTTTGGGAACTCCTGATGTGTTAGTTTTTTCATGATGTCGATGACCTCTTTAGCTTAAGTTAACAACCGTCAACTTAAATAACCTAATAAAAAGTGATTTTTAAGTAGCTAAGATGTTTTCATAATAAAATTCAGAAAAAATATTGTTTTGCGATTTTGATATTAGATTTTGGCAAAAATCTGACATCAGCAATGGTTGTCTTTATTAAACCTCCACTGAAAAGAAAGCACATAACTTATTTACAGGAGTCCTGCACTTAAAAGAGGTTAACTCTATTTATATTGCCTTCTCGCCATGTATACCGTAGAGTTAAAATTTAAAAGCTATGGATAAATAATTCAGTGATTGATTACGTTATTATGTTCAAAGCGGGTTTCTCGAATAACTGCAGTAGAACTGAAGCAGATAACAAGTTTTATTATTAGATAAGCTCAAGGTGTCCAAGGGGTTAATATCAAGTATTTATTAACAAATAGTGTTGTTTTAAACTCAGCCCATCTCCTTATAACTTTGGAATTCCTGTAAATACAGGATAGGATAGTAATTAAATAATTCTGATCGTCGTCACAGTGACGTGCTGTGACATATAGATAATAGATACAGATATAGTCTTTGCCATTTCTATTGAAACACCACTTGTTGATCGTAAATTTGGCAACGTTCATATTCACACAATTTTGTAACTAAAAGCCGTTGTCAATCAACCGAAAACTGTTAGCAATTGCTAAATTTTAGGCAAAATCAACAGGTGGTGTTTCAATAGAAATGGCAAAGACTATACCTAAAAAAGCTTAAATAGGGGGGGGGGGTTACTAATTTAAACTGGCTCTTTAAATTTTAGACTCAAGAAGATATAAACATAATAAGTATCCTTTCCGGTGTTTGTAGTCTAATTTAATGAAGAATAATTTTTTTTATATATATTTTATGGTTAATTTACGTTAGCACTAGTAAAACTGTCAAATTTATATCATTAGTCTGCTTATTTGTTTTTTTTTTTATTCAATTACGAGTAGCATCATCACATAATGCTTTTATTACTACTTCTTTATTTTGTTTCATTTATTCTATGTTGAAATACGTATAGTTCTTAAATTTGAAAACGACGACTCCTCAGAAATATGAATTTAATATTGACACTGTTAAACATGAGAAGACCCAAAATTGGCAATACGTTTACCCTGCCCACTTTAAGGCATTTTAGACAAGTTTCGGTTATAAGATGTTCACGTTTAAATTATTTCACGAAAAAATTAAGTATCAGTTGTTCATTAAAAATTATGGTCGCTCTATATATTTAGTTTTTTATTAATTACTTCCGGAGGTCACATGTAATTTAGAAAAATGTGATTTGATAATTTAATTTAGTACCACATCACATAGTATATTACGTAAATCGTACAATAAAAAAAATAGACAAAAAAGAAACAATTTTCCCAAATTATGAGATCATGTGTCTATAGAATTCTTATCTTCTTTGTTTTACCCTCAATTAATATATTTTGGCATTGGTACATTCGCACATTTCATTGAATAAAACTAATACAAATGCTGGTAAATAGAAATATTTGTAAAATTATATGCAGAGAAATATAACAGTAAAACTTTTTATAAAACTTGCAAAATATCATTTACGTATTTATATGTATATTATATTATAATAATATATTTACTTACGCTGGGAAGGCCAATAATCGCTCAAACTAGAATTCCACATATTCATATCAATATCTTCGATATCAGGAAATACAATAAAATCTTTGGCTTTGGGGGGTGGATTCGATGGAATTAAGGGTAAAAAAGCGCAACAATGGTATGCATAAGCCAACACCAAAGTCTGAATCCTTGGAAACTCTTCCGGTGGTGGAAATTCGCGTAGGTTCGGATTATTGAAAGTCTTTAAGTGTAACAGTCGTTCCAGGCCAGCTGACGGCAGATGGGGGAATACGTTTTGTCCCAAATTCCTATAAATTAAAAATTATAATAGGCTTCACGAAGCGTGGGAATAAAACTTACAAATCCTCGATTTTCGAAATTGGTAGGAACGCGTCCGGGTGTATAAACGAAATCTGATTATCTTCAAGGTTCCTGCAACGACACGTTTGTAATAGAAAATCGAAACGAATAGTTGCAAGAATTACAAAACTTGAAGTCTGGAGAGATTGTGGAAGGCGTCTTGTGGGATGTATTGGATTTCGTTGTGAGCTAAGAGTAGGTCGTGCATTTGGTACATGCCACGAAATGGCCTGTTTTCCAGTGACCGGATGTGATTGCTGGCCAAATCTCTGAAGGAAAAGAAAGATGGACGTTACGAAGATACATTTTCAGTCGTCGAATTAATAAAATATAAATATGTACTAGTAAAACTTACAGGACCCTCATTTCTCTACAGTTGTTGAGATCCGGTATCGTCTTGAGCTTATTCGATTTGAGATCCCTGCAGCATAAATTACCATTAAGAATGGAGTCATAAATGAGCATAGATATACTGACAAGCTTTTAAGTCTGGGACAAGTCGTACATAAAGAGGAAGGAACAGAGGAAATCCCTGCCCTATCCAACCTCAGTATCTCTAAGGCCGTCGTGCCGTTTAAGTTGGGAAACGTCGACAATTCTCTGGCTTCAGATAGAATCCTGCCAACAAAGAAGAGTATAAATCAAATCACTGCCAGATACAAAGACGACCCAAAAAGCTCATCAAATGTTGAAGAAGAAGGATGAAACACTAAGCGGACAATAAAAAAACAATTTACATGATTTTGGGGGAAACACAACACACTTGGATTGGATTAGTGTTGTTTGTTTTGTGAGATAAACATCTATACATCATCAATCAAGAGGTGAGATGATAATTTTGTTACTTACTGGGGGGATGCACATTGGGAAGTTAATACATGTTTGCATAAGTTAAAATAGGTTAGTGGTTAAAATCTATGACTAGGAAATACATAACCCGCAAAACGGAACAAACTACCAAAAGATCTATGAATTAGTAAGTAATAGATGCTAAAATTTTGGAAAAAGAATAAGGCGAGTTGTAATGCCAATAATTTACTTACGACTGATTGGTAAAATTTCTAATGATTGCGAAATCGATAGGAAATTAAGATGACTTTTATAATTACGATAATTATTTATAAGTTGGCTTTTGTAATTTTAATTACCAAATTAATTAAAAATTACCAAAACTAACGAAATTTTAGTACATGAAGGAATTTTTTCGAAAAAGTTATACCAACTTTTTTCATTAAAATCCCTTTACTTGCAATAGTGTCTCGAGGATTTGTTTTGTGTCTTTTAGGTCTAAATATAAATGGCATAACATATAGCAAACGGACATTAATTTTTCGTATCTAGTAAGACAAATCGACAATGCTTAATCGAGAGGCACGGTCAGATCGAGACGTGTAAACCAACCAAACTGACAAATGAAAGAAACATAACGAATTCGAAGTTTGTTTTGACAGAACTTCTCTCCTCCCAGTACAAGTCATACAAATCCCATTTCTTTATAAAGTAAAAACGAGCGACATAAATAACACCCCCGCAGCCCTTGCGCTGTGGGGGCGCAAATTGCAAAGGATTGTGTAGATTGCACAAGTACAGATAATGTAAAATATATTTAAAGTAGGTACAAAACAAACGACAAAAAATGGCCTCTCGGTAATAATAATAAGCTTTGATTCAAGTGCTTGTTTATACATCGGAATAATGTCACGTTTATCGCCACAAAATAGACGACTAAAATTAATAATTACGCCACATTCGAATAAAATGTGCTGAATATTATTATTATTATTATTAAATAAAGACTTCCGTATTTTCATCTTTTACAGAAAATGGAGTGATTAATTTTTAATTTGATCAATAAAAAAATTGTTATGACGTGATAAACATAAGATAAAGAGAAAAAAATAAGGTCCAGTTTAGCATCAAGCATCTTAACTGCATGGCCATGGATTATAGTATATTATATTGATTATATCCTGAGTTAGTGGTAAAATGTTATTATACTATGTTCATTTTTTATGAACATTTGGCGGTTTATGGAAAAATTCAAAGCGGATTTGTATACCACAAGTACAGGAGTATATTATTGGATAACATTTAGATGATTTTAAAACAGAATTCTTTGAAATGACGTCATCAAATTGTTGGTGGGGATGATTAACAAAATTTTGGTCAGCGTTTTACCATCTACAATCTATATGGTATTCTTAATATACATGCAAAATCTGACAACAATAGGTCAAGCAGTTTCGGAGATAAGTGTCTAATAAAAATCGACACAGAGCCAGACAGACCGACAAACAGATAAACAGACAGATGGAAACGCGAGACACTTTTTTCGTACTTTAGGGTTACGAAACGTCGAGAAAACATAAAAGTGGCCATTCGTCCGATGGACTCGATTACTATACTGACATTTTACTATAGTATCAAGTGTACCAACGTTTCTAATTTATGTGAATTACATTCCTCAGTCAAAATAATAGTGACCTCGAATCAAAAATCTACAGTGTTTTTTAGGAATCTTAAATGTGCTTTAAAGTGTGTGATTCAAATATCTAAAACAAAATTCTTACACAGCACACAGTATAAGGAAACTTAAAATCTACATATATAGTACAAGTTGCATTTTTTGAAAAATTAATATGTTCGTTTCCTACTAATTTTTGCTAGTGTGAATGGGGCTAATGTAATACTGTTGGTTGTCTACATAATTTTGAGGTAATAATGATAAGTATTATTCTAAGACTTCCTACAACATAAGAGCGTAAAATTGACACACAAAAATTTATTACATGTACGGTTGGAGAAAATTGTGATTTAAAGTAACATCAGTAGTGCTGACAATGATTTAAAATGAGTATATGGTCATAGCTCCGTTTTGAGCAATGCTTTGAGCTAGTCTATTTGGCACTGAGTGGATTAAATTTCGAATCTCATTTTCATTGATTTCTTCGCAACAACTTTGAGTTGGCTCAAATAATTCATCGGCAGTTTGTGGTCTAAATCTGTTGCAGTTGTTTACATTTTCTCTCGCGGAATCAAAAGGATTTGCCCTAAATGCATATTCATCTAGCTCTGCCAGAACCAACTTATCTTAATAATGACTGATCCTGTTTCCAATCTTTTTTAATTCTTAAAACTGCATTTCCGTTTAAATTATAATTACCGTAGCAGTTGAAATTGGCCAACTCTCTTCCAGTCGAACATATTCAAGGAGAGTCAAATTGAGACATACATATTTGCAACCAGTAAATTGAATATGATGACATCGAATAATTAATACTCCCTCTGCCCCAAATAATTTGTCTGATTTGAAAATAAATTTTGTTCCAAAATAAGTGTTCGATTTCTAAAAAAATATTTCGTTTTTAAATAAAGGGAAAAATGTACCTTTATGGAAGAATTTCTACTATTTCAATAAATACATCTTCTAATAGCCTTCGATCTAATACTGAACGAGGAATAATGAGCCTGAAAGAATGTTCGATGCAGCCAACAATACTTTGCAGAGTTTATGTAGATTTTATTTTTAATAAATATGTAAACATACCTAAAAGTTTGTCAGTTTTGACATTAAAATCATAACCGGATGAAATAAGTGAAATATTAAAGGAAAATATGTTTTAATAACGAACATAACTCAAAAACGAAGCAAATCAGCTAAGGAAATGTTCAAAATTTGTCCATCAGTGCGGTTCTAGAAATATCTTTTCACTCTCATAAGCATTGCTGGTGTTACAGATCTACAAAAGATAGTTATTCGATGTTCCAGATCTTCTCTATTGTATCTTTGACCATTCCCCATAAAAAGTAATCTAGTGGAGTTGTATCAGGACTTCTAGGGGGCCAAAGATTAATTGAACCCCTACCTATCCAGTTATTTGCATACATTGCGTTTACATGTTTTGTCTTCTTTGTAAATCTACCTCCTCTAACAACATTGGCAGAATGTTACCCAGAAGATTTAAATACATACACTTGACCATTTAATCTTTCGCGAAAAAAGTATGGTTCTATAATTTTGTTCCCCAATATTGCCCACCCGGCATTTGTAGAATAAACTCTTTGAAAGTGCCTGTCGCGAATCCAACGGGGGCTATTCTGCGCATGGTAGTGACAATTATGTTTGTTTACACATCATTGTTGCTAAAAGATCTCTCATCAAAAGCACATTTTCACAAGTTTTGATCTAAAATTGTTTGTTCCCGAACAAGTCTTCTAGGGTAGTCGGTTTCTTTAACTCCTTGGACCAAGATGAAATGATGAGGATGAAACTTATTTTCTTTGGCAATTCGGTAAACAGAAAACTGGCTAATGCCTACTCTTCTTGCCAATTTGCGTTGTCACACATGGGGTTCCCCTTCAATAATTTGAATGATTTCTAGTTCGTGTTCCTCACCGGTAGCTATTCTTTGCTTTAATAACTTAACGGGGGGCCAATTAGCTGTCAACTGATACTCCAATCTTTTAAAATCGTGTCCGAATGCGCTCTTCTTTCAGAGTATCACTGAATATAAACAGTGCAGCAAGAGATGCATTCTCCAGACATTCTCCATACATTAAAATCATATGTCTTCCCATCATTTGAATACATATTCAAATTAAAAATAAATGAATATCTTGGTTTTTATATTATTATTATTTTCCATAAGTTTATTACAGACTTCGTGGATTTGTAATATTTTTGAAGTTCTAGTGTGAATGAATAAACATATACGAAAAACCGTCCTCATTTATTTTTTTGGAGGCTTCGCTTCCGATCGGCACCTATTATAATTCTGAAACTGTTAAATTCTCATACTTTCATGTTATGGGCTGAATTTGTTTTATAAAATGAAGTAATTATAGTTTTATTTTACTGTATAGTAACTGTGCTTTCAATAATAAATGTAAGTACTTTTTCTGTACAATTTACCGAAGAATGGTAGACTGTTGGATTTTGTTATTATTTGCTGACTTTTGTGATTTTCGTCTGGCCCCTGTGGCAACACTAACTGATCTCAGAAAGTTGATTTTCAGCTATTTAGTACACATACAATAGTAAACATAATGGTAGTTTTAAGTTATGGACTATTATTTATATTTTCTTGGGGACAAAATTTTTTAAATAGGCAAATTTTCGAAAGTAGCCTATTGTGATCCCTGAAATCATTATGTTGAGGGAAAAATGAACGTTTGAAACTTTCAGGAAATATCTCACTAAGAAATACATTTTTTTTTAAGTAGTCTCAGGAGATATTAAAAATAAAGTTATCGCGTACAGCCCTGAATACCTTTATAAATATTAACATTTTTAGAATCAGACATTTTTTTTGCAAAGGTACTATATAGTTATAATGAAAAAAAATATATTTCGTGCAAACAAAGATCATAATAAAAAAGTACTTTCAATCATAATTTTATTTAATTAGTTTAGTCTATAATAGTTATTTAAGTATTAAGAGCGGTAGGTGCATTTTATCGACTGAGAGAGAGTAAATGTGTAGCGACCCCGAGCGCAATCCGAGGTACCCATTATTTCCCGAAATCAGTTGTAACTAACACTTGTGTTACTTATTACTAATTAAGATATACATAAGTATTTATGATAATTTCAAGCAGTGGTGCGACAAAAAAAACTTAAGTGATGTTGGCCTATTTCGTTCATTGGAACGAAAAGCTAAAATTCCCGGATAATTTGTGGTCTGAATATTCAATTCTGAAACGTACCATTGTCCTCAATAATTCTATCCATATTTCGAAAATGAATAATTGCCTTTCTCAAAAGAATACCTCTTCGTGAAAAAAAAAAACGAAAATCTTTACCAACGAAGATATTTTAAATTTTTTATTTTTCCCAAGGACGTAATCGAGTTCATCGAGCGACTGGTAACTCTAATTTTTCTCGATGTGTCATGACCTCTACAGTTCGAAAATTTGGCCACTTCTAGACCTCGCGCTTCAGAGCCCTCGACGCTGCGCGTCTCGGGTTCTAATTTGCGCTCGGTCTAGAATGCTTGGTTCTGCAACCTTGGCTAATAATATATTATTTCCGGTGATTGTTTATTAATGAGGCGATTAATGCATGATTTATGTACGAAAATCGTTCATTAATAAGGGCTATTAATGCATGATTTTAGGCAACCAGATATAGACGTCCTTACGTGAAATGTCATAATACTGAATGTCAAAAATTTCCCAAATCAAGATTCAAAATGGGAAATTGCATAGAAATGGATTCTTTAACTTTTCCGGAAGTAGAAAACGCAAATATGTGTCACTAAATTTACTTCCAGAAAGAACTAAAATGCTGTACCAAAAAACCTACGATGAGTCTGATGCTTGGTGCGCCGGAAAGTTGGTTGTAAGGTATTCAGAATTCGTATTACTTACATCCTTCTCAGATATTTCCGAAAAAGGCTCAATAGCACGCTTGTGGCCAAAGTATTCTATACTTCGATCCACTTTATGCATCCATCATGATTTGGACATATCCAACTAATGTTTATTCATAAAAATTTTCACTTGTATGTTTGGTTGCATAATTCATATTTAGAATTTTCAATAATTTTTCTAAAATTACGATCACCGGAAAAGTATTGTAACTAACTCGACTGTTAATTGGCGATTAATAATCTCGACCATTAACGCGCTCGTTTCTCCCGCGTTAAAATATCTCGATTATTAATCGCCTTTATTAACAAACTTGTTCGTTAAATAGCTATTAGATTTGTATATACAGGGTGACTAAAAAAAATTGATGAATGAGTCAATATATTTTATTGAATAAATCAGGCACTGCAAAACTGAATGTTTTGAAATCTTGCAAACGTTTTAAGTTTATTGTAATCATGGTAAATCGTTAATAAAAATGTATTCATTTATCCATCCCTCCCCCAAAAATACATGACGTCATCTCAAATTTTTCTAAATTAATTATGCAAAATGTTATCACTCTATGCTTGTGATTTATTATTGCATTCATATTTTTTAGATTGCTTATGCAGGTCTTCAAAAAAATTTTGGAATACAATACTATTATTTTTAGTATTACACTGTACCAATCCAAACTGACATACCTGTCGTTGGAAACATGAGATGTCATCATAAAATTTTTGAAGTAAAAACGCATTTGAAACATACGCGTGCACGCTTCTTTACATTTACTTTAACAATAGATGTTTACATATATGCTTATTTCAACTTATAGGGGTTCTCACAAAAAAATAAATAAAATTTGCAGAATCAAATTTTATAATTTTTCGAAAAAGCTGGAGATGTTTTATTGTACATCAGGGGCGAGGGAAGTTCTGTCGAAATAAGTTTGGACCATTTTTTTCTGAAATTCGCTGTATAGTATTTGTCTCCTGTTCGCAAACGGTAGTATCAAACTGCTAAGTTAAGTAGAGGGGTTAGGGTAAATAATAAAGCGTCACCCCCCAATTACCAGTTGCGATATGCTATGATTTTACGACGGTATAATGCCCGCAGACTTTACAACTTCCTTAAAGTAGCAAACTCCATAAAATCCGAGGCCAGTTTTTGAAATTGAATTTCTCGTCGTAAAAGCAGACAAGGCTGAGGATTAATTCGAAGCGAAATGTATGCACATAAGGTAACATATAATACTTGCAGCTTTCGGAGTCGCGGCAGGAAAGAGAATGCGTGGGCGTCCACTCCTGTCAAAGGATTTCCTTTGAGCTCTAGGAGGGCTAATGCGGGCGTCTTCTGCAATAATCCCCCACGGATATACTTGATGCGATTACCAGATATCGACCTGCAACAATTATAAGTTCAATGATCTGTATCTGAGTTAATTAATTGTAATTGGGCTTTTGTGGGATTTTCGGATTGCTTTTTTCGATTGCTTCACCTGCCGTGGAGCTTATAAGGCTTATTGGCCTGCTTTGTCTCTGAACTCTTCTAAATCGATTTCAATTCCGTGTAAGAGTCCGGACACCGGGTCAAGACAATCAGAAAGCCGCAATATTCAACTGCTCTAGCACAGTGTTCAAATGACGAGTAAAATTAGAAAAAGAGGAAAACTTACAGTTCCTGTAGTTTGGCAAGCTTCGTGACGGCTGTAGGTATCTGTGTTAGGAAATTGTCGTCGAGTTCCCTGAAAGCAAATTTTCTAATTAAACTTAGTTTCGAGCAGAGTTAGGAGCACCATATGGCAATAATTGGAATTTGGTTTTAATATAAGAATATTATTACTGTATGTTATGTTAGGAGGTTTGAGTTCTTGATAAACAAAGCAAATAGATATGCAGCTGAATTACATAATTAAAAAAAATCGATTCTACTGCAGCCCACTAAACGCAATCGTGTAAAATATTGTTAATAAAGATGTTAAATACCTAACGCTTAATCAACTTGTAGATATAACTGTAGAGAGCATAGAGTGAATAATAGATTAAATTTTACAGTATATAAATATTACAAAATTTCTAAAAGTCAACCTCCAAAAGTTAAGCTGAAACATAGGTTTGTAATATAAACGCTGGCGATAATATATATCTATTCGTTTGACCGAGAGTAACAATCAATTTTCAGGCAGCTGCTATAAACCCCTAATTTACTTAAACTAATAGACGGTGGAAGTCGTTGCCGAGAATTCATAACATCATCAGAATTTAGCAAAATATATCCAAAGATTAAGTTTGAAAAAAATCTATTCTTTAGTAAATATAATTATGTAGGTAACTCTTTTTTTTATTATTTTAAATCATATCAAGAGTAGTGGCTATCGACAATAAAAATAGCTAACTCATTTGATTTAAAGAACATGTAGATAATTATAAAAAATGGTCTAAAGTATTAGACAGAACATTCCTCGCCCCTGAAATCCAACTTCTTCGAAAAATGTTAAAGTTTGACTTTGCGAATTATTTTTTTTTTTGTGATACATGAAGTGTTTAAGTACAGGTAAAAAATGTTTCAAGTGAGTTTTTCCACAACAAAATTTTGTGATGGCGTCATCAACATTTTAGCAAGGACACATATATCAGTAATAACAGTATTGTAAAATCAAATTTTCGGGAAAAGGGGTGAATCGTTCTTGATTTGATTAATAAAACAAATTGCTTCATTCATAATTTTTTTTGAGTTACACTGTAATAAAATTAAAATTGCGGCGTACTCGCTAATAAAGTACAACGTTCAAAATTTATATAATAGTAGGTACCGTGTTCCGCAGTAATTCGCTAAAAGTGGTTTAGAGAAATTTAAAAGTACGGTTCAAAATTGATAAACTACGGTGTTCAGAATTCACAAATTATGGCCTACATCGTTTATAAAATATGGCGTTTCTGCACACTGCTAATATAAAATTAACAAAATCTTGATGTTTACGGTTAAAAATAAAGGTGGATGCATACATAACAAGAAAGTAAGTTATTTGGGGATGATCAGACAAATTTTGGTCAGCGTTTCATCATCTGCACCATATTCCTAATATACATACAAAATTTGACAACAATCGGTCCGGTAGTTTAGAAGATTATCTGTCTAATATAAAAATCAACACAGACGCGGACAGACAGACGGAAACGAGAGCCCTATGTTTTCGTATTCTAGGGGTCATAAAATGTAGAGAAAACATAAAAGTAGCGAGTCACCCGTTGGACTCGATTATAATACTTCCTTATCTTACACTCGGGAAATAAAAAAAGTACTGTATCCCGAAAATTTTGGGAAAATAATATAACATAATCATCTTTTATTTAATTAGTAACATTATTTGTTAACACAGGTACATTTATTTAATCATGAAATCAATGTTAATCATATATCAAACTTTCTTTTTGTAGTTGTTATAATGCTTGCTACATTTTAATGTCTTTCGTACCTGGTATGTTTTTTATGGGCTGTCTTTAAATAATAACTAAAGAAATATCTAATAATTTCCTCACTGCTTGAATCACACCTCATCAATAATAAGTAAATAATAATAATTAATGGTAATTAATTAGTAATACTAAGAGTAAACTGCAAAAAAGTTATCTTTCAATTAAAATATTTTGATAAGAAATGTTAAGATATTTTTGCTCATCGCCAAAATATAATATCATGATGACGTAGATCTCAGGTAGATTATTTAAAGCAGGTGCGTGAAGGAGTTAAAATTGAGTGCGCTCTCTTGAGTGGCTTTTATTAAATGGGATGATGAAGCGTTCTCGTGACGATGACGGTGGGAAGCTTTATAACGAGATTACGACGATATTGATTTGTGTTCAAGTTGATACTTACAAAACTTTTAAAGATGTCAAGTTGGCAAAAGCTTCCTCAGCTATCTCACTGATCTGGTTACGTTTCATCAATCTGAAAAATAATACTTATTAGACACCGTAACAGCGACGTCGGCGTCGTCTTGGATTGATGTAGCGTTCGCGGTTGTACGGCCAGATTTTACTCAACATGCAAAATTTTGACTCTTTAAGCCAAAGTTAAACCGTAAATCAGGATGATTTCACGAGATAACCGTACGGTGACTTGCCATTTTAATGAAAATATAGAGTAGGAGTTCCATTTGAGGTCAACCAGGAGTATTGCAACCGTAAAACATGCACGAAAGAGGATTTGGATCAACGCTGATCATGAATAATATTTGCATTTGTTTGGGTTGGAATACATTGTTTTAATTAAAAATTCACGTCGAAAGGGAGAGCATAATAGAATTCAAGCCTGTTCAGGGTGGTGGACAGTAACAATTTTTATTCTTTAATTCGAGGAAAAAAAATCTTTGTATGCGCGCCTCGCAATATTTCAGCTCCAGACCGGTCGTAAAGTAAATATCTGGGCAATTTACTAGATTTGAAAAAATCTCTTTCAATTTTTAACCCGGTGCTGTGGTGAAGATACCAACTCGACTTGCCAGATCACGCGTGTTTGTCTGGCAAGCACGCAACTTCCATTTATCAGTAACCGTGTCAGCAGAGGCGTCACAGCCCATCTTTTATATAATCCTGTGTTTATGAATAATGATACGCCACTGGGAATGCTACGATTGAAAAGAAACAGACTCTTTGATCTACAAATTATTATTCGATAACGTCGGTTTTTCAAGGTTTCTTTGAAGTGTCAGATTAATTGGAAGACTATTTTTAAAATTCCTTTACAGCACTTGAGTCAATTATTATACATATGAAATACATATCAACGGATTTATTACTTGCATAAAGGTACAATAAATTAAGTTTTATGCTCATTTATATTTAGCCAATCTGTCTGACTTTATGTTAATAAAAACATTCGTTCATTTTATCTATATTACGAATTACGTTCGAACGAGGATAACAGATTTATAGGCAATACGAGCCTCTTCGACAATAGTAATTTAACTGGGAATTAATTCGAGTTTAGTTAAAATAAAAAATAATCCGTTGGGAGTGTCATGTTCGAGGTGAATTATGTAAGTTAACTTCAATTACGTGTCTGTTTCAATTTAAAATGCGTTTTTGTGGTAAATTTATGTTCTAAATTTAAAGCTTTCAATGAACCATTCCACATCACCTACGAGTACCTGGATAGTTTTGGTAAAATTTGAGGTACGTTGTTAAAGATCAATAACAATATGCAACAAAATGAAAATGTATTTCCATTGAGATGACGTGAGATTTTTTTATTTTTTACCATGAACGCTATCAACAAAAATCAGGTTTCAGAGGAAACCCCTGAATCAATTTCTTTAAAATTAAACGACACCATGGGTTTTAAGTCAATTTTTAGAGAAAATATGTACTTAGTTGTTTTAGAACGAGTGTTTTTTTTTTCTTGTAGATGATTCAGAAATCTGCTAGCATTGGAACTTTCCATATTTCTTGGTAACGATCGATGCCGTATTTTGAAAATAGTCAACAACTCCTGGTGTGTACTCAGTTTTTAAAATAAGACATTTAAAAATTGTAATACATATTTATTACAGTTTATTATTTATACAAATTAAATTAAATTTATCTTAGTTTTAATGTACGATGATAAAAGTTTTCGGGGAGTGGATCCCTAAATGTTCTATTACAAGGATGGCCAACATAACAGAAAGCAACGGCCATTTAAAAAAAGTAGGAGAAGGTGGCGAGGCAAAAACAACTTAACAATAGATTTGAATTAATTATGATGAAATAATTTATTTTCGATTATTGACATTATTCACATATCAAACTTAAGACAAATTAAAACCAAAGGTTTTTTTTAAATTCTATTTAGTAAATTATTTCAAATTGCTAGCAAATCACGGGCCGCTTTCGAGGACTTAGTGGGCCGGATATTGCCCGCGGGCCGCCATTTGGCCATCCCTGTTCTATTTATTATAAGTAATATTACTTAATTAATATTAAGTAATTAATCCGACTATTTTAGTTTTGCGAGTTTTACACTCAGTAAATTTTGTTAGTGGTTGCAGAATTCAATGTTAAGCTGAACATTTATGGTAGACAGGGTTGTCAAAGTAATGAGGATTTTTGTTGTAAAAATGTATTACATAATCACTGAAACGATGGCATTCTATCGAAGAAAATTTTTGAATCACTCAATAGCTATAATCTTTAATCTTCGATGAAACAACTCTTTTAGGCTACGATATTTTTTCTGGGAGATATTTTTGAAGTAACTGCCTGCGCATAAGATTCGGCGGAGTTCGGTTTAGCGTTGGTTTAGAAATAAGTAAATTTTATTTGTTGAAGCAGCATTTGTTTTTTACAATTTGGGTAATATGTTAAAAGAAAAAATTAACGCCCAAAACCTTTTTTGAAAGCAAAACTACAATAGTTTTTCTCCGTATCGTTAACAGTTACGTTGATTTTAGCTCAATCTGTTCCATTTTCATTAATTGTTATTGGGATGCTCTTGTCGGATGTTAAAGAAAAAATGAAATATAGTAGTGAGATACGATATACTCCTACTTAATACTCCTATATAATAAGTACTCTGCATTTTTTACTCTTAGCATAGAGTTTTAAGAATTATTTTTAATTTCCTAGCTTCATGAAAATCTGTAGTACATCTCTTACTCAAGTTATTACCAATATCTTCCTACATTCGTTAACAGCAGATTCACCCTAAGATTTGGAAATATTCTTATATTATCCCTTTTTACAAAGCTGGAGGTAAATCTAACATCGAACATTACAGATGTTCTTTATCTACTATAGGTAAAATTTTTGAATGATTAATTAGTGATCAATTTGTTAAAATGTTTCATAGCTCTCTGTCTCCAAATCAATACGCATTTCTCCTTGAACGTAGTGCACTCGCTAATCTCATTAGCTATTTTTCCTATTTAAATGCTCACATGGAACATTATCGACAAATAGATGCGGTTTATACAGATTTCAGGAAAGGTTTGATACAGTTGACCATCGAATGTTATTCAGAAAGCTAAAATTGTTTAGTATAAACGGTAATCTTTTAAATTGCATTGGATCTATGTTTCAAATTGCTTACAGGCTGTTAATATTAAGAATCATCTATCAAAATTATTATAATTCACTTCAGGAGTTCCACAAGCTTGCCACTTACGCCCAATTCTCTGTCTGTTGTTTATTAATAATGATATTTCTTACCAATACTCTTCCTACCTACTGTTTGCCGATGACTTTAAAATTTCTTACAGTATAAATACATGGGATGATTGTCTTAAACTTCAAACAGATATTAAAAATTTGATTAAATAGTGTGAGTCAAATAATATTTTATTAAATTTTGACAAATGTAAAATCTCTCAAGATAATATTTTAGAATCGTCTAAAGAATATTCCCCCAAAAAGAGTCTATATCTGACCTAGGTGTAACCTTTGGTTCCAAACTTTGTTTTGATGAACATATTGACAGCGTATTCCAGAGGGCGTTCAGGCTGTGTGGGTTTATAAAACGTCGTTGTAGTTTTCTAATTGAATACTGCAATATTATATGACTTCCGTTTTATAAGTCTAGCATTGACCGTATTGAGAGAGTTCAGCTTAAATTTGTGAATCTTTTGCTTTATATACTAAAGATTGATAAAAACAATTATAATTATACAAACCGGCTCGATTTAATAGGTCTAAGCTCTCCGCAGTGTCCAAAAGATATCTGTGCTGTTAAATTTTGCTATAAAGTATTTCGCAATGTAATAGACTGTCCTCAGGTCCTACATTTTTTTTTGTCAAGATTCTGAGGCTAAATTCCAGAAATAAGAATATATTTGCTATCCAATTCCACCTGCCAAATTATGACTTAAATCACTTTATAGATGTTGTCTCCAGAGCGCTCAATATATATCTTTTTCACCTTTTTTCAGGTTTAGGTCACTTTTTGATTAAAAGTCGCGAGAAATATTCCAGTTTAAATGTTTATATTACTATCATTTTTTTATTACTTTAGCGTTTCTTTCTATTTTTTGTTAGTTTGCAAAATCTTCTGTTATCTTAAATTAGTATCTAATGTTGTTATATTTTCGCCATTGCTTTTATTTGTATCTTTCTTTTTTTTTGTCATTGTTCTTTCATTGATTTTGCTCATAAGGATTGTTCTGTTAGGTAAAAAGCTGGTAATAAATAAATAAAATTCCTAGATGTGTATATCTTACTTGTCAATGTGTGGCATATTGTCCAGATGCATGAATAGCAGAGATTAATTAAACTAACATATCTATCAAGTAAGGCAAGAACGACAACAGTAAATTTTTGCATTTATCAAAATTTATGCACGAAAATAAAGACAGACATATATGTATTTTCCTTCCTTGTATATAGCTCGTCGCTGGATAGAAGCAAAAAAAGATATTAGTACGTTGATCGGTAATTTAAAATCGGCGTGGGTAAAACTCAACAATTTATTTCTCAGTAATACAAATTTATACGACTATAGACAGCGAACAATTCTGACTCAACTTAATTTGAACTTATTAACCGACTCCTGGATAAGACTAGACTCTACTTCTCCCACTGACTGGACTCCACTGCCCGGTCCCGAGGGTGTTCGCGTCCCTTCTGGATAGTTCGTCGTCACCGCCGAGAGTTCCGCAGAACCGTTTCTAAGCGCTGCTTGATCCGAATGTTGCCGCCATCGATGATGAGTCAAACATTATCGGCATACATACCAGAACACCCATAGACGTCGTACCGGGGCGGCGTATGGGTTTGTTTTGTAACAATATAATTATCCACTTACATTAACATGAAAGTGTAGAACTTGTAAATTAAAATTAGTGTTACTTCTGAAATGATACCGTGCTGTGTACCTAAACTGTGCGATTAAGATATTTGATCTCAAATCTACAACTTCAGCAAAAAATTACAAACATTTTGATCAGACCTATTTGAAACCGTATAATCTCGAGTTTGTTTTAAAAACAATTTTACCTGCCCAGCATACAGCAGAAAAACGATACAGTTTCAATATTACCGTAGAACATTTAAAATATATTAATAACAGGTTCCACTACTGTTTTATGGATGTTTTTCATGGGAAAATATGACGTCCTGTGTACAAATATTTTGATAATGATGATGATTACTTTTTGGTGTATGTCAACAAGACGAAAAGTCTTTTTTTGGAAGCTCACATATGAAAATAATTTTTGCAAAAGTATTATTTTAGATTGGTTCAGTTAGTATGAATTTACTGATATAATAAATGGGTAGGGTATTTTTAAATATTATTAGATAATTTTCGCGTAAAAAATCCGAACTCGCAAGTGGATGGTCTTAAATAATATAAAATTATGTGTTTTGTTGGTTGCATAATCATTAGCTGTGCCTTAGCAATTCTGTTTGTAAACACAAAGAAAGAGGTCAATTTTCATGTTAACATTCTTGACAATAAAGTAAATGTTGTAATTTAATGGGGAGCTTTAATGTCGGAAATAATAGAAGTAATTTAACAATTTAAAAATTATCAAAAACCCGCCAGTTCTTATCCTAATGCACCGTTTTACAGCTCAATAAAAAATAAAGCGAGTAAAACTGTGAAGTCATAATGCTTAAAAGCTTTCTCCGCAATTCTGTTTTACGGTTGCACACCCTTAACAGTGGGTTTCGATTCTGAATTTGCAATGAAAATAAAACCACAAACAAATACCGAACTGTTAAAAAATACTTACAAAACAACCAGCTTGTCGAGTGGTGGAAATGCGGCCACAGGAAGGCTGGCGATCAAATTATTTCCAATATTCCTGCAAAATAAAACAGTTAGAATTTGTATTGGTAAACCTGTTTTTTTTGCTATAAAAATTTAGTTCCGGGCCATTTCCGAGTGCCAATTATCTCCAATTGTGTCTAAATAATCGGTTTTATGGTAATTGCGATCGTTTATTTATAGTACAAAACAGTTAATGACGTGTTAATGAGAGTGTTTATTAGTTTTATTAGCGCATAAATACGTGTAAAATGTCGTAAAGTATATTGTAAATAGAGTTACAGGTGAGTAGGTATTAGTGTACCAGTGGTCGTCAATCTTGCTCTTTATGCTCCAACAACCACCTTGCTATTTATTGCCTCCATTCAATTTCACGGCAGTCAAAGTTTTTGTGCAGTTTTGACACCGTAAATCACCGATATCTAATTAATTGGCTTGGAATTTCAATAATAATCGCAATTAAACGTATGATAGCCAACAGCTAATTAAACTGGCGATTTATTTTATTATTTTTGAACGTAACATTATCTCGCAAATCAGTTCCAGTTAATACCAATTATGCATATGGGTAATTCCATGACAAATGCAGCAGCTGCCGCTGATGGAAAATAAACAAAGTGGTAGTTGGAGTGTTGTGTTGTTGGTGTTTCCTGTTCGATCAACAGCAGAAACATAGGCGAACAAACAGGTATTATGTGTTGGTCCTGGTACTCACAGGACCTCAAGGTGTGGGAGACCGGTCAATGCCTCCGAAGGAACACCGCGCAGACGGTTGCCGTCCAGACGCAAGCTGCGCAGTGCAGGAACCTGCTGGAAAGTGGTTCCATCCAGTTTCCAGATTTCGTTATTGCCCAGATGCCTAACCCAACAATATCCACCACATCATCAAGGTTCTTTTTACAGAAAATTAGGCAAAATTTTGACTATTCCGTACAATTTATCCATCAATCATTTTCGCATATAGACACATGTGGCACTTATTTTGTACAGAGGAAATGGAAACGTGTTTTGGTGCTGAGACGAAATGAATGATGATAAATTGAATACAGCATAGTAAAAACCGAAAAAAAAAGTTACAACACAATGTCCTAGGTAGTGATATCGGTTTTTAATAAGCTGTAAAATGCTTAGTGTTATCAACAAACTATAATATTTGGGTTTAATATTTCAGTGACAGGTTATCATTATTTCATAGTATATGTAGGTATGTATATGTTACTGATGAGATGGACCAGGAATTTCATTTGTACATTTTCAACGTTTCAGATAGTTAAAAAATAACTATTTGATGATATCTTCATACACGTATGTTTATATACAATTACTTAGCTAATATAACTGATGTTCAAAAAATAACATGAGGATGGCGTTATTTATCATGCGTTGTGTTCTGCATTTCCATATTTGTATCTAGTTAAACATTTGTTAATGTTTATAATATATATTATATTGTTATTATACAAAAAAATCTAACTACAAAAAATACAAAGCTAAACTACGTTGGGAAATAAAGAATAACTAAAAATTTTCTATTGCAGCAATCGACAAATTAAATTAAGTTCATCTTTTTCTAAAATATTTCAATGACTTATGTTGTTGAAAAGTGTTAGCACCTGATATAGTTATGTAAAAAGAACAGTTTACGTTTAAATTTATTTACCTAAACTCATCCAAACATTCAGTTGTAGTGTATGAGTTTTTTATTGTTTTTAAAAATTTTGTGGTTGTTTAAAATGAGAGGTTCTGGTAACGTGTTTCGTTAATTTCTGTTTTAATAATACTACATTACAAAATTTCCAAATCTTAAAAAGTATGGAATTCATTTTTCTTTTACTTAAATAGTACATTTTTGAACAACAGGAATCATTTAACGTGCAAATGAACTTGGTTTAAACTAGCAGTGTTTGACATCATATAGATAACATTTTTAGTGACAGCAAGTTTTCTATTTGGATTGTTGAATAGCTGTTACTACCAGATAATGAAGTGTAGCATTAAACAAATGAAGAAAGGCCAATGACACCCATGAACTAAATAGGTAGGACAGATCACGTTTTGAGCAGTTGTTGCTTTCATTCTTAAATTAAAAATTTTTAGGGTCAGAACTTCTGAATCTTTTATATTTTCCGGAGTTTTACTTTTAGTTTACTGTCGGTAAACCTACTTTTTTCTTTTCCTCTTTATAAGAAAAAGTTCTTAAAATATTTAACACGCCTAAAATTAATATTTAATATACTTTGTTGCATGGTATTAAAACATTTTCTGATTACAAAAACCTACTAACTTTCCCCCTCTATGTGTTGCGTATCACAAATTTTATTTCTTATTTAACTTATGTCAATTATTTAACTATTTTTTGTCATCCTTTAAAAGGTTTACTATAGCGTACAAATTTCAATTAAAAATGAATAGTTTGAATTAAAAAAATCCACCAAAAAGGTTGTCTAAAGTTAGGTATATCTGCTTTACGTTTCTGAGAAAAATGGTGTCATTCGTTCATTCTTTGTGAGAAGAAATATGTTCTAATTACAATTTTAATTATTTTATTAAAGTTGAAGTAGCTCGAAAATGTAAACGAAATCGCATTCTCTGCCACTTTGGTATTTCATAAAACAATTCAGAGAAGACGTATTTTATTTTAACTATATGAATGTGAAACAAAAGTTATTAATTAATTAACTTCTTGAAATAACTGTTGGTAGCAATTAATTTTGATAATTCTGTAACGTTGTAACATTAACGAATTTCGTTTCTATAGAGTTTATACATAACTTTTTAAGAAACCTGTAGAGAATCCTAAAAAAAAGACTAAACATGCCGCATCGTAATTTTCACCTTTCATTATTTTTTGACACGATGTCTCTAAGTTTGTCAAGAGAATGGAAGATCAATTTTGATTGTTAATTTTAATTAATGTTTTTGTAATTTTTAACATTTTTTTTATCAACATGGGCAGAAGAAAGAGAGTGTGCCATTGCATTTATGTAATTTCTCTTTTATTGTTATCATTTTTTAATAATATTCAAGAAGTTAGTGGAGATAAATGAAAATATATTTAAGTATTCATTTCTCAGGCCAAATGATGTAATTTTATTCAAAAATCCATTACATAGATGCAACTTATGATAAGTTTGTGCTCACAATTAAGTTTCACAGTTTTTAAATAATATTGCCTTTTCCATACCACATTTATTAAACCCAGATACGATATTTTAAACTGATTCTTGCATCTAGACTTTTATTTACATAATTACTTCTGCTACACTTGAGATTTCAATTTGTCGATCAAGATTAAAATTAAAAAAACAAATCAAGGAAAAGTAAATGCATAATTATGAACTAGCTTCTTAATGTAGAGATTAAAGCGATACATTTTAATAGAATCTGCAAATGTTTAACTAGTTTTTCGATGACCATTAAATGAGAGATTTTATGTTAGCAGAACATATGCATGTATCTCCAATTTGTGTTTAATGTCCGATAATTGAGATTAACTGGTTATGTAGTAACTCATTTAATTTGCATTACCCTGATAACACACACAACTTGCAATATGCTGAACCAAATGACCGGTCGATATCCGAACGAAACATAATGATGGAAAACATGGAAAAATCGGGAGAAAGTTGTTTTGGTCAACGTGTGGGTGCAAACACATTGGCTGTCAAGTTAGACTGATCTAAGATTGCCTCTAAAGTCCGTGCACAAGCCATGAATACCCTCATTTGTTATGTATTTCTTGTGGTCAAACTTCTCCAGTGAAAAACTCTCAATGTCAGATAAAAAGTTGATATTGATCTCTGAATACTACAATGTCCCGTATCAATGAAAGGGAAGTTATTAGAAAACTTTTACAGAAAATTTTTCCCTTTCCCTATCACCTCCAAGAAATTGAAACTCTTGCAAACGTGACTTACTAATCAAAATCGAATTCCGCATGCATCGACGGCTACCGTTCATTCCCGTTTCTTATTCGTTTTTCGTACGGAAGGCATTGTTATGAAATAATGGCGCTATCAAAATGCAGGCTACAACCGATAACATCCTACAAGCAAGCCAGAAACGATAAATTTAATTGTTATGAGCCATACGTGCAGTCCCACATTACAAGCATGATTTAATTAAAAGCCATATTTTTGTTTTGGAGACTGAACTCGATGTCTTTATAAAAGTGTTTTCTGCCGAAGCCAATATTTATTTATCAAACCTGATATATGTCGTCATATATGAGCACATGATGTAGTGAAACAATTTTTTTTTTATTGATGTTAAATGATAAATATTACTGTATGTCTGCATTGTTCAGTAATTTATTAGATATCCGAAGGTGTTGTACTGAAAATAGTGGAGATATTAATAAGAATACCTCCCAGGGGATAATGAATAGTTCATTAAAACAGAAATAGCTTGGGGGTTGCGGTTTTGTGGACGATGTTTGCCAACACGTAGTAGTTAATTTATGGTTAAATTTTTTTTCCTTAAACGTTTTCTTGGCTTTCTGGCAATTGAAAAACTGAATTATTTCCGTGTATTTATTTACAATATTCCAAACGTTCCACCTTCAACTTCGCCTGGCTTCCTCAGTGGCTATAATTTTTTTACATAAATTGTACTTCAGTAAAACATTTACCTAACCTACTTGAAATTCCTATCAACACTTCGGTAAACACATTAAAAAATTAACCATTATGTGTTTAACGAAGTGTAGGTAGGAATTGTAAGTATACTGAAGTCCAATTTCTGTAAAAATTTTATAGGCACTGATGAAGCCGAGCGAAGTCGCAGGCGAAACGTATGGAATATTCTAAATAAATGCACGGAAATAATTTAGTTTTTCAATTGCCAGAAAGCCAAGAAAACGTTTAAAGAAAAATCGTAGCCTAATAGCCTAAAAATTAGTTAAATTTATTTCACAAATTTTGTCTAAGTTAAGAAAAAATTAGAAAATCTTTTTTTCCGTTTTCTTCCAATTATTTCAGCCCAAAGTTTAAAAAAATATAAATATAAAATATATGTCACAGACAGCCATCTCAAACTTTCAAATTATGGGTAATCTAACAACATGAAAATTCTGTCAAAAACAAATCTTCAAAAATCCATGGCTGGCTTTGATCGTGGTTTTCATTGTTCTTTTGGTACATTGGGTTAATGATGTGTCAATTTGACGTGAAAAATGTTTTTGTTCAAAAATTTGAATCTTGGTTTTTTGACTATGTCATTACTTTAAGTATATTCTGTTTCTTTTCTATCTAAATTTCTAACCAGAAGTAGTCACTGTTAAATTCAATTGTTCACTTATCATTGATGTTATTAATTAAAGATATTGTTTACACTTATCCTTCCTGATCTCGTGCCCGATACTAGCTTTAAAGATTCTATGTTTAATTTGTTTTCCACTTAATTTCTAATCTGCGGAAAGTAGTTAATACTACACAATTAAATGTTTAATTTATAAAAAAGTTAGATAAATATGTTCAGTGGAACTCATCAAAAAGGTAAAGCAAAATTTGGTTTCTGCTGCTAAAACAGGCTCTCATGATTTGATTTTAAAAGATAGATATGGAAATTCTTCTTAGTTACGAGCTGGTTTTTACATTATTTTCATATAACACTGATTCTATCTTATACAAATATTTTTATAAATTTAGAAATATCAATTAAGACTGAGTCAGTCAGCGATCAAGTTTACCTACTTCGGAAGTTGTGTTGTTATCGCGATTCCACTTGACTTAAAAACATTACAATTATCAACTATCTTAAAATATGCCTCAAGGCGTAATTTGAAAATCTTGAAGCTGAGAATACACAACGGTTTCACCGCAGATTTTGAATATTCTTTGGATATTTCATGCAGCAGTA